TTATCTGTAACACGTTGGACTTCGTCTGGAAAACTGGGTAATTGTTAAAAGTATCGAAATTCCGTCCACGTCGCGAACCATTGTACACAGATGAAAAATGCTTGATGCTTTATCCCGTTTCGATTTCAATTTATAGATTTCAGGACTCAAAGCTAAAACAGGTTGATCTTGTTTAAATGCTATATGGCTGGGGTATATCACCCTACATCACGTAAACGCAACGTAACGTTGGCTGACATCTATCATGAAATATAAAATTGTTAGCACTTTACCGACCATTACTACGACAAATAATAATAATTACTAATCAAACGATTTTAATGCCCCGGGACAAATATAATACTTCAATGTATGTCTATCTATGTTCCTGGTTAATTAAATTTATCCCGGGGAAATTAATCAGTTCCAAATTTAAATCGGTCGTATCGATTTCGAATTTCTAGTTATTGATAAAATGAAAGTGCACTAAAGTAATCCTGTTACACCGCAAACTACAAAATTACATGTTCCCAAGCTTTAATGCGTCGTATAGGCCTGTTCGGCGCAGTTATTTAAATGCTTCGGCTATTTGCATACATTTAACGTACAGGTGTGGGTCGGTCTAACGCGCGCGACCCGTTTCGTTGGAATTGCTGAACATCGCGTTTTGTTGCCGTTATTGAGTTTATGTCGCCCACTATACCCTCGCTAATATCGCTGACTGAAGCCAGGGTTAAGATTTCTGATCCCACATAACGAGTTTTCCGTGTAACAGGCGAAATATATCTCGGAACTTTTTCGAACAGAGGGAAACAGATAAGCATGGTTTTCACTTGATGGAAGGTGTAATACCTCACGCCTTGGCTTCATATTCAGAAATCCACAGACTAAAACCGTAATACGATGAAACTTCACAGTTTTCTCATCTGTGGTTGGTGGACAGTGGTTTACTGAATCGGGCAAAATTCCAATATTCCTTTAAAGAAATTATATCCTTTTTTTTCAGACAAATTGTAACAGAATATTAAGTTAAAAAATTGTGTGCTTTTCGCGAGCAAAAAAAAAGCAAATTTCAGCTAGTAGAATTACACTTTACATACTTTTAATGCCCAATGATGCAGTCCAATAATAAAAAAAGAACAAATAACTAATTTATAAAACAAACAAAAGCTATGGCGTGTAAGTTAAATTTATTTGTTTATTTTAGGGTTGTTTAAATAGTGTAAAATATATGTGGAATTAAATTGTTTTCTTTTTTTAAATATATGTTATTGTTACGGTATATGGATTTTATAGATTCCAAAACTACAATACATCAATAAAGTATCTTAGTGAGATATTTTTAGGCTGGGATATTATGAAGATACGTGTCTTCGTCATAAAAAATTCTACCATAATGTTTCAATAGCTACGAAAGAGTTACAAAAGCAACTGCCACATAAAAAACAATATGGCTCGATCCAAATTGTCACTATGATCTAGCGAAATTGGCCCAGAAAATTAGTCAGTAACATCAGCGAAGCCTTAATTATTGATCAATAAAGTATAACAACAAGTGCCGACCGCGTTAATAACGATTCATTAGATTTCATAGTTACAGTATGGCTTATCCTCAGCGACCAAACAGTGACCCAATTCACTACATCCCCCTCTGACGTACTGAATAAGCTTTTAGTAAATACAGTTTAGTGCTGAAGCAATTAATTCATTTGTATCTGGGTGTAAGCTGTTTTGGTATCAGGAATCTTGTTATTACCGCACTTTGTAGGAGTAAGACTAATTTAAATCAAACACATCGAACGGTTTAAAAGGCGAATTTTATTACTTAACTTATTTTAGATTAAATTGTAAATATGTTAAGTAAATTAGTTTACTAGTATACTTTGCGTTTTACATTGTTTGAAGGTGTTTTATTTAAATGTGTACTACTCGCGTAAAAAACATTTTTAAAACGACCCAACGTAGCATTTCCGACATTAACATTATATTCCTTAGGCTTATTTTACACGTCATTGAGAGAAGAATACAGTAATATAGCATAAAATTGTCCTTTTCGTTTGTCGATTTTCGAGAAAAAAGAAAACATTATATAATAATTAATTATAATTTCTTGAAGTCAATAAGTTTTGGTCGGGCAGGGCACAAATATGTGATCAGTCTGACTGTAAATCGATTAATTAAACAGACACAGAAATGTGTCTGGAAAACGGAATTTTCCTTTTAACTAAGTAAATTGGTTATTCTGTAAAACGTCTTTTGTTTTTTTAGCATGTCACAACTCCGTGCACAGTTCGGAAACTGTTTTCCGTTCGCGTTGTCTAGAAAACTGTTCTTGAGCACTTTAGATAAAAGAGGATGAGATCGCCTTCGGAAAAGGCACCGAAGCTTCATAAACTTTTCACTGGTTTGTGGATCAGTTCTTTCCGAATGATAGATTTCTCTAACTAACTGTCGCAAAAGAGGAGATTGGATTCTTTGTAGTACAGTGTATTTAAGGAAGAAAATAGTTTTTATTTGCCATCATTAATTTAAGAAATTAATTATTTACGTATTATCTGTAATTTACGCGAATAGTACAGATTTAAATAAAAATACTTTTAACAGTTTAAAAAGCGAAATATATTAGTTAACTTATTTACAATATATTACTACTACGGGTGCAACGTTTCGGGTGCTTTGCAGCATGGCCAGAGTGGGCAGACCGTGTTGGATTAAGCCATGCACTGAGGGCTGACCCCTAAAGTGTAAGTGGTTAAGTCCAAACTGCTACGCTTGCGCCATCTGTTACGTCTTTACATTTAACTTATATATATCGTATCCTTTTAAACCCTTAATAGTGTTTTATTTGAATATATACTGGCGTAAATTATAGACGGTACTTAATAATGAATATTCCTTTTTAAAGCAACTTTTTATTATTTCATCTATACCCGGTGCTTGAATTGTTACGTACTCACGTAGTACTTGATTAAGAATGAGGTGGAAAATCGTTTCGGTCGCGTGAGAACTAAATATTTCCCCATAAAATAATAACTAAGTACACGGTTTCAAGTTACTAACAGCTTCTTAGTATATTAAGAAGCCGGAAAATTAAAAGTTTACTAAGCAGTAAGGACGCGACAAAAAGTAACAGTATTCGCCCTAAAATACACAGTGAGGCTATTTTCCTTAGAAACCTTACCGTAATTAACTTAAAGTCGCATTCAATTTGCGTCAGATCTCATTACGGAGGTTTTAATTAGTTAAATCGGGAATAAGGATTAGTACTGAACTCACAATGCTCAAAGTAGATAAAACTTCCAGAGTTAATTAATGAAGTTCTCTATCAGGCATTTAGCATACATAACATATGGCAAACTCAAAGTTTTGACTAGGACATACGTGCATTTACTTGTCATATCCCCCACATAGAAAATAGGATGCGCCTATTTTGCATGCATTATATGGCTTTATATAAACTATTTCACGACGTTTTTCTCGTTTATTGCGATATTCCTATCACCTATCAGACACAGTCTATCATTGAAAGATTATTAAGTGGGTTTTAAAAACACTTTGCACCCGATGAAAATCGAACTCACGCCCCTTTGATTATTAGCACTACACTGTTGCGCCAAAGAGCATGTCAGAAAACGAGTACAGAAAAAATATAATTGTGTAGTCTATGGTATAGATAATATTCTGTAGTCTGTAGATCATACAATAGACTATGTATATAAGTTACTTTAACTTTTTATTAATGAAATATTCTTACGATACACAACACACTTTTTGACTGAATAGATAGACCTATATAATTAAAAAATCGAAAATAAATTGAAAAAATTTTCTCTTGAATCCTTGAATCGGTATCGTTCCGTGCTGTTGCTCTACCAATGAGCTACTGAGTCCTACACCGCATCGTTGAATTTTTTCAAATTATTGATACATGCGCCTCCGGCGTAACTCTCGCGCAATGTAATTTCACCCTAACTTACTTGCGTATTAAAATTATTAGATAGACCCATCCTTAACAAACAATCATTACAACGTATTCATTACAATAAATGGTCGATTAATTTACTTAACTCAATAAGAAAACTAAATTGACTCACGTAGGAATTCCGTGTCTACCTTTAAGTAGATACAGCGGCTTAACACAAAAGATAAATACTAACAAGAGAGGTAATTGAGATAAACAGGTGTGTATTCCACTTTATAACTTTCCGGCTTCGAGTGTAACGTCTAACAAAATCTGGGAAGTTCTCCTCCCGAGTTATTTCACTTTTCGGATCAGCTATTTATTACGGCCACGGAAAGAATAAGAAAGTAATGATTCTTATTTATACTTGAAGTCCACTCTTGTGTCTTAAATATTATGACGATTAAATATTAAAGATTTCAAATGGTATTAGATAATCATAATTCTTTAATCAGGTACCCACATCATATAAATAATGTGATAAATATGTTATAAAGCAGTAAAATTAAATGATTTATTAGAAATAATTTAAATAAAGGCGCGGCTATATAAATTTGGCAGACATTGTACACATACAGATTAAATATGACATCGTATAACTTCGAAAATTCCTAGTCCAAGTTATGTTATCAATAGAAAGGTTTCGGTGATATAACAAAATATCAAACCAAATGATTAAAAATTGCTTAAATAAAACAAATCTTTTAAATTATAACTGACAAGTTCCCAGCATATACATTATCATTTTATAAACTTAACTAAATCTTCTTTACTTAATCTTCATTGTCTTTCTTTTTCACGTTCTTTTCTAGCACAACCTGTCTGTAAGAGATCGTTGTTTAGCGATAAGGCCGCCCTTTACTTATAGTTCATAAGTTTTTATTAATATAAACCATTTCTGTGGTGTTGTATAAAAAAAACTAAAGAAATATTTAAATGAAATAAGTTCGATCACGGTTATTTCAATCGGATAGCAATATAGAAGATAGAGATTAGATGTTTAAATTAATCTTACATTTTAGCGTGAAGTAATTTCCAATGTGGGCAATAAGGACTGAAGATGAACAGGCCGGGCTACGACTTCTCCGTGCCTGTATCCACGACATATTACGCGACTAATAGCCGACCGCCGCAATACGACCGCGGATATGGCCAACTCGCCCCGGTCCCCGTCTACAGCCCGACATCCCATCCGCTCTCGAATTACGCAGACATATACGAAGGTAACAACGACACCACACTGCGGGCCGAAGAAAGACACTGGTATATAGAAAACCACAAAAGCATACAACCGAACCACACCAATGAAACCATACAGGAAACCAAAATTAAGAAAGAAGAAGAGAAGAAGGACGCGCAAGCAATAAGAGCTGACGCAAACCAAGCGCGACAGAGGAGAAAAGAGAACCGATGTTCCTGTGAGTGTTGGCCTAGTTCTGACAATAACGAGTTGCAGAATGGTAACTCGACCACCAGATCACTATCTGGCGTGGACATGGTGGCGTCTTATGGGGTATATGGATCGTCTCAGGACGACGAGAGTTCGGGTTTCGGGAGACTGGCTGAGAAGAACGGGTCCTTCGCGCAAACGAGTAATGCGCCAGTTCAAGGTGTGATAGTGAATCAGCAAGGGAACAGTGCCGTGGTGAGAACTGCTAGTTCAGACTCATCTTCTTGTGGGAAGTGCTGTGTGTGGTCCTCGAGCGGGCGAGGAGCGAACTCTGAAGATTACTGTTGGCTCCACTATTGCAGGCCAGCGCTTATCGTGCTGCTGTTGCTGTTTTTTCTAGTTTTGTTGGGTGTATCTACAGGGTTTCTATTGACAAATAATTGTAAGTACTTATAATAATTAGATTATTATCAAATGTTATAGTTAGTTGCATCATCGATTCGATTTTTATTTACACAATTTTTATTGATATGCTTATATCTAAAATTAAGTTTAGGATATATTTCCATGTAAGTGGATAGCAATATTCTTTTTTTAAATAAAAAATAACAGTTGTATACACTTTTGAAGGCTCTGAGCCCGTATTGTTTATCGCTAACTATAAATAATATAAATAACTAGTAATTCGCTATAATTACAATCACATAAAAAATATTTTGTCTCCCCAAATATGTATTGAAAAAGGATGGTCTTATCACTAAAAGCGATTTCTTCCAGGCCATATAATTATTAATTGATTAAAGATTCTTTTGTAATATACAACATTAAGAATGCTTAACAATTATATTTTTTTACGAATTGTTTTAATGATCAATATGAAATTACTGTCATTAATTTAGTAAGCAAGTGAAAGCCCGTTTTCCCCTCGTGGGGCAAGGGCCAAACACATTTCTATGTCCCTTTCACTGATCCGTTCTTTTAACGGGTTGGTCAGACTTCTGTGCCCTGCCCGACCGAAATAATTGTATGTTTCCCTTGGATCCGAACCCAGGACCTCTCACGCTTAACGCAATGCTAGGCAATACGTATAACCAGTAGTCTACAGACGCGGTCATTAATTGTGTAATAAAATAAAATATTAATTATTGCACTAAGTAACACAAACATGACAATTTATTATGACTAATGTCACACCATCTTATGGATTTTTAAGTTTTAAATCACATAAAACCTATGTAACCAAATGGTAAAACGTATTGCCTAGCATGACGTTAAGCGCGAGAGGTCCTGTGCTCGAATCCCAGGAAACAAAAACAAATATTTCGGTCGGGCAGGGCACAGAAATCAACTACCTTGCCTATTAAAGAACGGATCAGTGAAACGGACAAAAAATGTGTTCGCCCCATGCCCCACGAGGCGGAGACGGGATTTCACTCCTTTTAATTATATAAAAGGCTCAAAACAATTTTCTTTCGATAACACAAAATTTTGAGTACGTCTGCGTATGACGTTCCACCTGTAATTCAAGTTGATTCAGTTCAAATGAAATAGGTGAACAGGTGTGGGGGGGCGGGGGCTGCGCGGCCGGCTGCCTCGTTTTTCTTTCTGACAGATTATTCATTTTAGTGCCACTTGGAAGCCAAGTACACTTTAAAAGTGCAACTAACTAATGCATTCAAGAATCAAATTATATGTGATTCTATTGATTGAAAATCTATTTAGATTAAGAAACATTTGAATATATCATCATTGAAATAACGTGTAAGTATTGACGGAATATAGCTTAAAAAAAATAAATTCCGTTTACATGACATATTTCTGTGTCTGTCTTTTGTGTAATAACAGCGGCGCCACTTACTTTCGGATGAAGTACGAAATGTATTGGGTTGGAAAACCGGGAAAACATTAAATTATTTCAGTCGGTGTTAATCACTTGTCTGTAATTAATGCGCTCACATGTGTGTTTGCCCTATGCCCCACAAGGGGAAACGAAATTTCCCTTTTTATTGATGATCGTCTCTGAAAGTTAGTTGTAAATTTATAAAGGTAAATTCTACCTAATATTGTTTGAATTGTGTTTTATTGTTCTGAAAAGTTTTCTCCTATATAGAGGATTAGACGGACACGGTTTTGTGTTTCTTTATTCTATTGTTTATTATGTTCCATGTTTGACCGAGATTATATATTTTTCCCTAAGTTAAACATTTGGATCGTGTTAACCAAACGCAATCCATTGAGCTATGAAGGAGTTGTACAGAAAAATAACTGTTGTGAAATATTGTGTTGCATTTTAGCCATCGTAATAATGAGATTACAAGCCCCACGACCTGTTTTGTGTATTCAGAAGCAGGCAGAATTGACTAAACGGCCGTTCGAGTTGTACACACTATAGTAACAACAGAATAAGTGTAAAAAGTACATACTGTGAACTCTTTTCAATGCGCCATCGAAAAGTCGAAACGGTTTGTTCGAATTTTTTCGCGACTTTTTTTCGTCGAGAGAATTAATTTCCACCGGCGTCGCTCGGGCACTGATTCACGAGTCACGTTCGGCTTAGCTGGGAGAACTGCGAATGGTTAATCGAACGATTAGTTTTCACGCTGTTTGAGCACAAAATTCTTACTATAGATACGAATGGATTGTGTGTACTACTACTCGCGTAAACTACAGACAACGATAACGTAACACTTTTATATTGGTGTCCCCCCACGACCACGGCTGTTGCAATGCATCTGAAAAGTCGTGCCGTAGTTAAAATAAATTGAAAACTAAAATTTCGCGTTCTCTACCGTTAAAGATTTCTTATGCCTTTTGCGGCCAAAATAAATGAGTAACTTCATTTATTTTGGCCGCTGTTTTACGCATGTCAATTTCATTTAAGACAAGACTTAACATGTAGTCTTATTTTGAATTGTATGCCTTCGACTATATTTGACTATTAACTACAATATAATATGACATCGACTGAGAAAAACTCGCCATTTCTTTTATCTCCAAATTTAGTTCCTAAAGAGTAGTCACCTACTTACTAATTCTTACTATTTTATAATATAATACCAACTATTTTCTACATTAAACAAATAGATTCAGAAAAACAAACCGCTTCTTTAGAAAGAAGAATAAAGAAGCAAGAATTAAGATAAAATAAAACAAATATTTAAATAAAACTCTTTAAGGGTTTAAAACGCGATATATTAGTTAAGTTAAATTAGTAGGTATATTAGTTATTTTAATGTGTACTACTCGCGTAAACTATAGACAGTATTTATTAAAAGAAATAGTTATTCAAATTTAATGTTTATATTACATTATTGATTCTTAAAATGTTAGCAGCGTATTTTCCCTTCTAAACTTTGAGGACAACCTTTAAGTTTATAAGAAGGTTTTTTCACACAGATGTTATTTGGGTTTTACTGGACGGAAATAACACGTTAAATAACTAAGACGATTAAAAGTGTCTTTGTTAAATCGATTTTGTTTAAACTTTATGATAAAAATTTCTTTTACACTAATATTGATATTAAAACGCGAAATGAATCCGGTAAACTTACTTAAAAAGTAACTCCCTCTTGACGTTTAACTTTAACGCGTAAAAACCGTTAAAGTGTTTTATTTCAATGTGATCTACTCGCGTTAACTAAAGACAGTATTTATATGCAACATTCATAAAGGATTCTGTTTTAAAACATACACGGGTTTTACAAAACCTAACTAGCCAACAGTTAAATTAGCACAAACTAATGTTCGGTCGGCATAGTTTAAACAGATTGCAATCAAACAGTGCACGCAAATTAAAACAAATCGCGATAACATATTGCAAATTCCATAATATATTTGCTCATTAATAAAATTAAATGGTTTTAAATAGCCACCAAATTATAAACGACCAGCGTAGGCGATTAAAAAGCAAACCATTATAAATCACGCATAAGCGTACCGGCCGTGTCCGACACAATACAATAATTGAGTATGAAGCTATAATTTATTCAACGATAGTGAATTTGAATTACTGCTTCTTGGCACGCAGAACAACATTAACAACAACACAATGGACCTAACCTCAAAAAGCGACATGGATAAAAGTACTGAGTCATTTGAAAGTCATCAATATCTTGGAAATAGATTACTTACCGAGAATGGTAAGCTCCACTTTCCTGGTCCCCGGAACGAGTGGCACGGATTATGAGGTTCCAGGAAGAGGTTGTTGCGTTGCGTGTAGGCGGACAGTGGGTTGCCATCCTGGTAGTATAAGCTCACCAGCACATAGACCCGTAAAGGCACATAAGAAGTAAACTGTATTAGAAAAACTACTTTTTGATATAACTCTTTAAGAATACACAGTAAGAAAGAAATTTTATATAAGTTAAATTTTCCTTTAGATCAGACAGATATAGTAATATTAATATGTAAAACAATTCTACTAAAACATTTTAAAATGTGTAATATATCAAGAAACATTGAAATAAATAAAAAATATGGGACTTTTCATGCAGGCATACAACACATGAGGTAGGCTTAGAGGTTTTTTAAGAAGCCTTAGTTATTCCACATACTGATTTTAATAATTTTATATATAGATATTAAATATTATTATTATGAGATGGATATTTAAAAACATGTATCTAGAAGTTGCACACTAAACTTTACTAACTTAACATAACTATACTAAGACAAACTATACATATACATTTTAAAAATCGATAATTGAGCTACCGACTCATTTGGTAAAGCAACAGCACGGAAAGCTGACGATGCCGGTTCAAGTCCTGCCCGAGTCGAAATTTTTTTAAATTTATTCTCGATTTTTAAATTATATAGTGCCTTCATGTGCAACATGTAAAAAAAATAAAACAATGGCATCTTCTAGAGCCACCGCTAAAGAAACAATCTGCGTTTAGTAGTAAACTAAATCAAAATAACGTTAATTTTATTTTTATAATATTTAGAAAACTTAACAGCTAACAAAAATAAACAATTGAGTAACAGGAAGTGTGAAACTTAGGAAAGTTTTCACTTATAAAATAAAGAGAGTACAGTTTTACAATTAAATGAGATCTTTATGTTTATATACAGTAAAAGTCAGAAGTTTTATAAAAAAACGATACAAAATAATATTTAACATACAATACAAATACAAGTTTGAGTACAAAGTTCAAACCTAATACTCAAAAAAAGAGATTCTTATGCATGAACAAATCAATATATTAATCGCATTAAGATTACAAAATCCATCAAACTAATTTCTGAACCAAATTACTGATTACGTGTATGCTACGACCTCTATAAACGTCCTTCAAATGAATAATTTACCGTTGTAATGTACGAGCTTATAATCGAATAATAATATTACCGTTACATTGAAACGACATGTCCTTGACACAACTGGTTCGAAGACTATTAATGTTTTTCTATTAAATTTTAGCCTGGCTAATAACAATAAATACGTAGGGGAGGGTCTCACTAAATTCTCTCAATTCAGGTATAATATAATTAAGAAATAAAAAAATATTTGAATCTGTTGTTCTATTTTTAAAATTTAACAATAATAAAATAAAAAAATAAAGAACGGTCTAGCTGTTAGCGAGTAAAAATTTATACAGAATATGTTAGACAGCACAATAAAAAAAAACAAAATCAAACTTGTGCAATGTTCAATGGAGTTCATCTGTCGATTTTCACGATGCAACACTACTCGCTTATTTTATTATTTACACTTACAGTTTTTTTTTATATTGAGTTAAAGTATTTATTGTCCGTAGTACTTTATCTTAAAATTTTGTTTTAGTTATTTGTTTATGTGACAGTCACAGTGATTAAATAAATATTTAAAATAAGAAAGTCCTTCGCAAAAATCACACGGATAAAGTCACTGTCACACTAAGTTATTTCTTCAAAAAGGTTAACCAACTAAATACATAATAAAAGCTAAATGAAAAAAAAACAACTTAATATAATTTATGTGATGATTACGTATTCAAACTATTTAGGCAAGCGTTATGAAAATAGGTATAAAATATATTAAAAACTTAAATGCATAATTTAAACACAATATTAAACGATACGATTGGACGAACGAGGCAGTGAAAAAATCGCATCGATACGATTGTGTTCATCCCCCGTTTTACTATAATATCGAAATGAGCAGTATTTCCAGTCCGATATCTTTACGGCAACTCAATGGGGTGAATGGAAAATAATTTTCGCCATCGATAAGATAAAGGGTTCCCCCACCTGGCAGTGTGTGATTGCGACTGACGCCCGTAATATCCGGCCGCCCGCTGCCCACAGATGATATCAATTTCAAATTTTTGCGGCGTCATAGACGAGTCTACTCGATTCGAGATCGAGTCAACTCCTTCCTGGTGCGTTCCAATAGGACTTAATCTGCGACTATTCGATTGAAACGTTTTTGACTCGACTGTACCAACGGATTCCGCTATGTATACTAATATTATAAAGTTGAACAGTTTGTTTGAATGTGTTAATTTCAGAAACTACGAGAACTGATTTTTTGTGCTAGAGATTTATCGAGGAAGCATTATTACTTTCCCAATATGAAAACACGGAAAATGTGAAAAAAAACGGGGAAAATTATTCATCTCTGTGGGTTCCCGTTCTACCTCAAAGGGTTAAGATACCCAAAGTAATATGTAAAAACAATCTAAAAAATTCTTTGAAGATTTACTTGCAAAAATGACGGGACGCGCCGACGTCGTCCGTCCCGTCGTCCAAATTTATAAAGATTATGAGGTTTGCAAAAACAAATTTGATGCCAAAAATATCTTTCTTCATTTTACATTCTACCAACGAAGTCCTACGACTAGTTAATATTATAAAGCTGAAACCTTAGTTTGTTTGAACGCGCTAATCGCAAAACAACTATTGCGAATTAAAAAAATATTTTTGTGTTGGCGGGACCATTTATTGAGGAAAGCTTATGAAGTACAAATAAAGTAAAGATTTTACTTGACGCATTTTTATTTTTATTTTTTGCAAACAACCTCCTCAGCTTTATAAATTAGTAGCTGTGCCCCGACTTCGTTCGTGTGGAATAGTGAATTGGGATAGAATTTTTAATTATTTAGGCTGTTTATTAATTTGTGTAATTGCGCATTTAAGCCAATCTATGTTGTAAGTGCTACTTTGCCTCAACACTCTCACCTCACATCCCTCCTACTCTAACTCCCACTCCAACTTCACGTCCACCCCACCCCTACTCCCACTCCTGTCCCCAAGAAGAAAGTTTCATTGTTCTTACAACCTGCTTTTCGCAATAAAAAGTAGCCTATGTTCTTTCTCAGGGATTAGACCAAATGTGTACCAAATTTCATTCAAATCTGTTCAGTAGTTTTGGCGTGAAAGAGTAACAGACAGACAGAGTTACTTTCGCATTTATAATATTAGTAAGGATCGCTTTATCCACAGCGTCGTCTCTCCATCTGTCAGTCTTACGAGTGATCTACATACTGTCGCGGACATTTTTTAGATCATTTAACAAATAACTAAAAAATACTATTTTTTTGGTATCTTGAATCGTTTTCATAGCGCACGTAACGGAAGCCCTAAAAGATAACTTTCTCAATTTATTTCCACATTTCCGTCTGTTTTTCTCTCCTATTGTGCGTGTAGTTATATAGCCTAAAGCCTTCTTCGATAAGCAGTCTATCTAACACAAAATAATTTTGTAATACGAACCAGTAATTCCTAAGATTATCACGTTCAAACAAACAAACCTAAGAGCTCTATAATATTAGTATAGATAGATGTATTGTTTACCCTATTTCGGCTTTGGACATTTGAAATTTGTTTTACTTTGTTGAGGGGATTTCATCAAGCGAACCGATGCTTGTCTAAATATGCCTCGGTCATAAAAAAGCTTGATGCCGCTTGCTTTAATGTGCTATTAAATTTGCTGTGGTTTTTGTATCACTACGGTTGTATAGACTATTAATTAATTGCTTAGTGGATTTACTTATCTTTACGGTCTTTTCAATATGATACCGGATCTCTAGTATAGTCAAAATATAATATACTTGCAGAAATTACGATCTCTAGTTATAGAAAAACAATCATTACGCTTAGTATGGGCAATAACTTGGTAAATAGGTTTAAAAAAATAGATTTAATCGCTCTTAAAAAAATATTTGAAATTTCTCGAAAATAACTATTTCGACAATGCATTTTAATTAAATATTTTAAACATTTTTTGCATTGCATTTAAAAGTAATTATTGCGTTTTAATTTATTTTTTCATTTGTTAAACTTGTTTGAAATTAAATTATTTTTAACTACGGCCCGACGTTTCGGCAAAGCAACCGTGGTCACGGCGAGACAAGTATATCGCGTTTTAAACCGTTAAAGTGTTTTGTTTTCCTGGGTTCGATATTGAGAAAGAGCCAGACAGGCTGACTAAAATCCTACAAAATAATATGTTAGCAGTAAGCATTGCCCGTTCTTTACGCGCGTAGTAAAGAATTTTAATATAATTAAATAAAACACGTTTAACGGTAAAAACGTGAAAAGGTCAACTTGATGACTTAACTTATTTACAACTCATTATAAGTTACTAATTTATTTTCCGTTTTATTTAAATATATTAGAATTGTCACAGACTCCATCTAACATAGCTATCGGATTCGTTTAACACTTGGCTGGGCGCCGCATGTTGTTTAATAGCCCGGGATGCAAAGGACAGGCGCGGCACACGTCCATTCAATTTGCAATAAAACAATATGGCCGACCAAGACCTGAGCCTCTCCACTTTTATATACCTAAATTGTGGGAACAGAGGTGTGTGAGTCTCATCATCATGTGTAAATGAGACGCGAAGGAATAAAATACCTAAAGAACATACAAATTAAAATTAAATTTAAGATTCAACAAAAAACGAAACATAAATATGTGCTCTTATCAACTGAGTAATCTATAATAAATCAATACTGTCAGTAGTTAACACGAGCAGTAAATATTTAAATAAAACACTTTAACGTGTGGCCATATCGCCCCGTGACCACGGCTGCGGCAAAGTTTCGAATCGTCGGACCGTAGTTAATATAATTCTCAAATGAGTTTAACTAATATAAAATATATATCGCGTTTTAAACCGTTATATAAATATAATAAATCAATCATAGGAGCCCCAGCACGCAACGCTGTGAATTCCAATACGAGTACCGACTTGGCCATCGATTTTTAACACAAGAGGTCGCTAGTACCAACTTATAACTCGTTTCGTTTTGATCAGACACAAAAGTCTGATCGTCTACTTGTCGGTAAAGTGTGTAAATAAAGAAGTGTGCCACTGAGAAATCCGATTTTTCCTTCCCTTACAAGTCTTGGCTTTGAATGTTTGTTATCTATCCACAATAATGACTCTTGCGTTTACTCTACTGCGCTATGTATATTAATGTGTACTTCAGTGCCTGCAGGTCGTAATACTAGAGAGTGCTTTGCATTTTTGAAATCGACCGACTTAGTACACGATTTTGAGTAAATGTACACAGCGTTACGTTATTTTTATTTTGTATGAATTGATAATTTATTTAGATAACGTGAACCGTCCACCGTGTTCATGTGTTTTTTTTATGATAGAGGACAACAACCCCGGCCTATAGTATCTAAATAAGATACGCTGTAGGCCTATTTTGGCTTTGGATATTCGGAAATCCAGAGACCGAAACCGAGACGCGATTAAGCTTCACGGTCTTTTCATCTGTGGACGGTGATGTTGATCTTGATGAAAGTTTAATATTCCTATCACTCATTTAATATCCAGATTTCCAGACTAAGTTCAGCATGTTTTAGAAAAATTATGAATCGAAAAATTTGTAACATCTCGGACCCAGTGGGAATCGAATTTACATAACTATACATTTTTAAATAAAACACTTTAACGGTTTAAAACGCGATATATTAGTTAAACTTATTTGAAAATGATTTTTAACTTCGGCCCGACGTTTCGGATGCTTTGCTATAACTATACATTGCTGCCAATAGACCACTGAGCCGTGACTGTCGCCACTTTGGAACCATTGGAATATACCATTATACCAGAATTATAACATTAACACAATATTTTTTTTGTTACAGATTTACATTATCAACCGCGACCTCCGGCTCCGGAAGGTAATTATGAAAAATATTGCAATAATTTTGTAGTTGTATGTGTGAATAAACTCTTTCGAAACGGTGGAACCGATTTTAATAGAAATTTGTTTACCTTCGTTGAGTTAGTTACTTTTATACAATAATTTATATGGAAAAACAATGTTTACCGTAAGTTTTTTTTTTCAGAAAGCTTAAGTTCATGCATTCTTTAAAAGGCTGTTAAAATAACAGTTTAAAATTTGCTATCTATTGGCTTATTTTAACCACGACCTGAAGTTTCTGTTGTTCAGAACCAATTTACAATGCAAACCTATTACTTGTTCGTGCAAACCACAGACAATACTTAATATTAATATCTATTAAACCAAATGTTATCCAAAGCCAAAACACGATGACAGCTCTCTCTGTCCTTTCCTATCATTAAAAATGTCATAAAGGGAATTACAGTACGATTTGCAAATGTCATTTATTACTTATTTGCTTAACACCATGAAATTATTGTAAAGGCGTCTCCACACCAATCCACCATTTTCTTTTATACAATTATCTATTAATATTATTTAGTTTACAGTGCATAATCCATTTAAATTTTCCTCTCATGTGGGCCATGCTATATTAGAGTTTACCTATGGATCGTCTGTAACACAGGCGAAGAAGGGATTTTTCACAATTTAATACCAGTTTTGAAAAAACCACAAACCTGAAACCACATAGGAACTCGCGTTCTTATTGAATTAGATATTTATATAAATTACAAAGTTTTGAATAAAACACTTTTAACGGTTTAAAACATGAAGTTAAGTAGTTAACTTATTTCAAATTTAATTTAACTACGGCCCGACGTTCAGACGGTTTAAAACGCGAAATATATTATGTAACTTATATTAGGATAAGTTATATTTTTATATCGCGTTTTGAACCGCTAAAAGAAGTAAGTGTAACAATTTACTTGAGGGAATTGTTATCAAAGTAAATAATTGATAAATCGAATTTCGCTAACACTTTATTCATTCCACTTTAGAAATTGTAAACAATAATATTTTGATTTCGGATGTTTCTGCCATTGCTAAAGTTTATTTTAAATTTAATTTAATTTAGACTACGTCTTTTGTTAACAGAATACAATAGTTCGTTTACTATTATATACAAGGAATTGATATTATTTTCACGTTTTACAAAAAAACCTAACCAACCTAAACAACCTAAAAAAACTTAGCAACAATATCTGAATGTGTATAATATACCAAAACCACAGACTAGAAAACCGCGATAATTGTCTGGTCGCCTTAAAATATATTGACTTACTAAACAACAGTTCTACTTTTTAAATATCTATTCTATAATCATTCATTTATATAACAAACAAAAGAGGTTTTTTGTGTGGCAGGCCTAGTAGAATATTTTAATTTTAACACCATGGTTACAATACCTAAATATTGTTTGAGATTTTTATGTATATTTTGAGTACCTTACTAGTTGATAAAGATCATGAAAATCTCTTTCTATAATGTATAATATATTATAAAAAAAATAATTTAATTCTTTAGTTGTTCCTGTATAGTTACACTTGGTGACAGACAGACAGCTAATTCTTAGTAATGGAGTTCATAGCGCAGCTTCATAGATAATGTTAGGTACTATAAATCATCTATATTGGTAGGTATTAAAGAAGTAGTATTAGATATTGTCTGTAGTTTACACACACTATAATAAAACATTTTTATCGGATTAAAATACAAAATATATCGGAGAATTCACTATAAATTTAATTCACCTACGACGCAACGTTTCGGATGATTTCCAGTAGCCATGGTCACGGAGAAACTGAAAATGGCGTCCCTAATGTCAGAGTCAAATCTGCCACGCTAGAGCCATCTGTTACTTACGTAGTTGGTGTTTTTAGAATTCGTATCTTTCCCTTTCCCGAAGATACCTTATAGATATATAAATTTGAATATATAGTTAAATTAAAAATATATTTTGCGTTTTAAACCGTTGTGTATAAAAGGTAGTATTAGTCTTTTATCAATAGAAAAAAAGTACGCTCTCCGAAAGAATGCGACGGCGTTCCCTTTGTGCAAAAGTACAGATGAGCAGAAAAGCTTATCTGCGGCTCACGAGCACGTACGTTGCGGGTGACATGCCAACTACCTAGAGTGCCAGCGAAATTGCTTTGTTCATACACAGTGCGAGCTTTTGCCGCATTACTCAGTAAATGCCCCGTTATGATTTCGTAATTAATTAACTTATTAAATATTTCCCTGTTGTAAAAGTTGTTGTTTACAGAGCGCAGCGGGATTTCAAGGGAGATTGTTGGGCTGTCATTTATAGGGAGTGAGGATATGAAAATCTGTTCAACCCTTTTACAGCGGAAGCACGTTCCTTGATGTCTTGTCTGTAGTTTATGCGAGTAGCGCACATTTCACAGATATGCTGTTAGATGTGGGTTGTAGTCCCGCCTGTGTCATTCAATATTCTTTCCGAAAGTTATTGTTACATATATTAAAATTAACCAATCGCTGTCTGCACGTAAGTGATATATTATTAAAATATCTTGGATTATTTTCTGTTTAAATAAAACACTTCTAACGGTTACCACAGCCGTGGTTACAGAAGTACTTTAAATAGAGGATATCTCTAATGTCAAAGTAACTAATATAAAAAAAAACTGCTGCAAGGTATCCGAAACGTCGGGCCATAGTAAAAATAATTTTTAACTACTATATTTCGCGTTTTAATCAGTTCATTTCAACAGAAAAGAATTCCAAAAATCATTATTTTGGATACTATTGATTAAGGTTTTGTATCACATGTACAGACGGCAATTGGTTACAATTGTATATATAACTTTTGGAATGAAAATTTAATGGCGGTACTTGAACCCACACATAACAGAAAATCTTTTGCTGAATCTAGCATTATTAATACACAGGGTATTTTAGAGTCTATGTAATTGGTATTGTTTATGCCTTATCATATTTTTTCAGTCTGATATCTTAATTGACATAAGCTTTTTATTATTGTACGAATATAATGATTCCAGAACTCATTTTCAATTCACATAAGCCACCTTTTATATCTGTATAAAATTTTATACGAGGTAGCGAGTCGCCTAACACTGTTTGATTCTTACGAAATTGTTATTTCCGTCTCCTTTCTTTCGTTTAAGCGGATTCATCTGAAGCTTTCATAAAAGTAAGGAAATGAGTTCGCGGTTGGATCTTGATGCTTGTTGTAATCTCGCTTTGAAAAAATTGTTGTCTCTACGACTTATGCTAATTCTATACGAAAGCGCTTGCGGCTTTTTCCTTAACGTTTATATAGGTTAATGGCTTATCAAATAGTAGAGATATTAAACATGTATTTAGTCTCCCTGTGACCACGGACGCAGCAAAGCATCCGAAACGTCGGACCTTAGTTAAAAATAATTCTCAAACAAGTTTAACTAAAATATATCGCGTTTTAAACTGTTAAATCGTTTTATTTAAATGTGTATTGTTCGTTCCAAAATCAAATACGCAGCTCCTAAACAAATTCATATTCTAAGAAACGAACAAATTCTGAGAGATTCGTACGAATTCGCGTCGGAATTTTAACAAGATGATAGAGATCGACAATTTCCAAAGCCAGTGAATACAATACTGTGGCGAAAGCGGATATTCGTACCTTACTTTAGTCCGCCTTAATAATTTAGTCACGGCTCCAACGCTCCAGGTAGAAAATTGGAAATAGACTAGGTAATTGAGTCAAGGATTTGTTAAGAAATCACGTCATTTCAAAGTTTAAATTATTTTTAGTTAAAAATAATGAATGCTCGTAAAATAAAGTTAGAGTTATTAAAAGAAAACACTTTTAACGGTTTAAAAGGCGAGATACATTAGTTAATTTTGCTATACTGATCGAAATTTGCATCTTTAGTTCCGGATAACAAAAATCAATTGTAAATAAGATACGTAATATATTTCGCGTTGCAAACCGTTAAATGTGTTTTATGAAAATGTATACAACTTGCGTTAACACAGATAATGCAAATTTGACATATTCGGACCTTTGATTATTAAATAGGTAGTAGAATATCGAAAGAAGACTCAGATAGAAAAAGTCGTAAATTGTAATGGCATTTCGGATTCACTCCGTGCATTCCCAATGTCCTAGGTTAAAATAGAGATGTTATGTGGCTAGCTGGTTGATAACGTATGTACTGTCCGAGTCGCCAGACTCGGTAGCTCAATTGGAAGAGCAACGAACGCTGACGATGCCGGTTCAAGTCCTGCCGAGTCGAGAATTGTTTCAATTTATTTTCGATTTTTAAACTTATATTGGCTTTCGATATTTAAAATTTCACAGACTGAAACCTAAACGCGAGTAACCTTCACGGCTTTTCTTCATATCTGATATTGCGACATTCTTACCTTGATCCAGCTTTTCTGTCGACTTCCAACATGTTTCATAAATATTATAAATTGATTGTTTAGAAAATTCGTAATCAATTTCAGAATTCGATCGAATTCGATCCGGTTGGGACGACCCACAACCCGTTGTTTATTAGCCATATATTGCTACCTTAAACCAACCAGCCCGTTTATAAGTATACCACAGAGTATGCTAAAGGCAGAGTGGTCTAATATAAAAAATGATTTTCAATACGGAACATAAAAATACGATTAAGTTAAGTATGTAAACATGATTTTAACAATCTTGGTCACAGTGACCTTGTATATTAACATTTTTAGATTATGGACAAATAAATAACTCAAAAATTGCAGTTAGGCTACTCTGCCTCTAGCGGTCTCATATTATCTGTTACTACTCAATTAATGGTACAAATTATTTATTATACGAAACGGTTTTCCTTAAATTTTCATTTGATTCGCGCTAAAAATAATTCAAAGGTGATCTCAAAAGCATCTTGAGTAAACTCGAGTCCAAATGAACAAATACTGAATAGTACTTGTTGCTTGGTGTTTATTTAGGAGATTTCAAAGAATACCTAAAAATAAAAAATAATACGACGCTTGAGAACTTGGCATTTAATCTTAGTGTTTATTTAATCTGTCCATGGATAACATTATTTACAAACGGAATTGTTGAAAGTATTAATTCTGCGTGTATCTATCTTATGTAATTGTGCATACTAATAACTGTTTAAGCTTGAGTTAACAGTTTTATTAAAAGTATCTTATAGTACTAAATCCTTACATATATTATCTTTGGAATTACACGTAATGTATCACAAAAAATCAATATCTTATAATGCTACGCCAACATGCTACGGCGTAGCACCTGTTTACATACTACCATTATTTTATTTGGTCGGTTATAATTTATACGGTAATAACGATAAAAATATGACTACTAAATAAAACTTGTATTTATTCGATTATCAATCGCAAAACCGGACAGTACATATGTACAACACAATCACCGTTTATTAATATAATTAACAATATAATGTTTAAATAAAGATATGTTTGAATAAAACACATTTTTACGGTGTAAAAATAAATTATGAATAAATTTAATAACATATAAAAAAAACACTTTAACGGTTTAAAATGCGATATATTTCAGTTAAACTTACTTGAAAGGTTTCTTTAACTACTGCCCGACGATTCGGATGCTTGCAGCAGCCGTGGTCACGGGGAGACTAAAGATGGAGGATGTCTCTGACGTCAAAGTAAAAAATACTATGCTTCATCCGTCATGGCGAAACTCAATCGCTTTTTAAAATTTAAGTGTTTTATTTAAATGTGTCCTACGCGCGTAAACTACAGACATACTGTTAACTAACATAATTTTTGTTTTGAATCGTTTGAAAGCGTTTTATTTAAATATCTCTCTAAATACTTCTCGCGTTAACTACCATACACAAATAACAGTATATTGTGTTACTTTCTGTTCCAGAAATGTATGAGTGATCATAAAACCCTGAGTTAAAATAATTTTACGGGGTATCTAAAGTGTTTTATTTAACTAAAATAGTTATTAATCTTGCTACCTGAAAAATCGAATTAAGCCCTCGTGACAGTCAAGTAGAAAATATCTTACATAGTATTTCTACTTTCTCTCCATAGAGGCATGCGAAAAAACCTTCTGCCGTTGGGGGGCAGAGTGTGTCTCTCTTGGCGATGGGAGGGCTCACTGTGCCTGCCCTACAAGCTGTCCATCTGCCGCTACGCCGGTTTGTTCCACTGCTGGACGTACATACAGAAACCACTGCTTCTTGAGAAAGGAGGCGTGTGAACGAAGACTGAACTTACGAGTTAAGCATGAAGGAGAATGTGGTAAGGATTTTATAACATGATTTAAACTTTTAAGATTAAGAAATGAATTGAGCTATCAGGCCACGGTAGCTCAATTGGTATTAGTACGGAACGCTGTGAATGCCGGTTCTGGTTCCGCTCGTGTCTTAATTGTTTTCTCAACCTAAATAGATGTTTTACATAAATTAATTTATTGACAAAATACTCCAAGTGCACAGATTATAATTTTATTAGTTTGACATATACAAAAGGATGAGGTTTAGAAGTCCCACTTATGCACGATTGCTGAATATAATTAAAAACGTCGAGTTTAATAATAATGACATACAAGTGATTTTTATATTGAGATATACAGTGTAAACTCCATGTAACGTCACCCTATTTACGAAACTCTCTTAAGCGTCGAAATCAATCCGTTGGTTTAGCTTTTTTTCATACAATGTTTCTTCTCTCCATTTACGAAACTCTTATGTAAATCACCTTCATGTCGCTATATAGAGTTTACACTGTATATACAGATATTTCTTTATCTCTGTGGCAACTCTATAAAAGACCATCACTACTCTATGGTTTGAAATCGGCCATATTTGTTGTGGTCTTTTGCCAAGTAAGAAAAAATGTACTAGATATTTTTTTGTTAATAGAAGCTGGCGAACCCTGCAACGCAGTTACCTGCCCCACTGGTGCTCGGTGTGTCGCAACCTATGGACAAGCGGAATGTCGATGTCCTCTCAATTGTCAGAAGCGCAAGATCGTATGCGGTACGGATGGGAGGGAATACCCTTCGGCGTGTCACCTCGCGAAACACGCCTGCGAGAACCAACTTAATATTACCGTAAAATACCACGGAAAATGCGGTAAGACAATTTCATATTTCCTAGAGTCTCTCTCTTACATGAACGCTTCTGGCTTTTAATTTAATATACCTAACTTCGTTGAATTCAATTTTGTAAAATAGCAACAAACTCTTCTGTTTAAAATACGATTTATACGTTTTCAAATAATAAGATTCTGCAAGCAAACATTTGAAGGTGAAAGGTGAAGGTTTAATGCGGACACAGTGCGAGTTGAAAAACCTAAAGTCCTATGCAAGGGGAAAATGGGGAAATAGGTGAAATAGTCATATGATCACCCAGCCTTCTATAGGTGGCCCCGATAGAAAATAACATACCATTCTCAAAGCTATAAGAATAGTTTCTCGTTGTCTTGTTTGACATATGAACTATGAACTGTCAAACAAAAATCCTCGATACTGCTAAAAATAACATTCCAAAGCCATTCTTATAATATAAAACACGTCTAGTGTACCCTTTTCGCGAAATTGTCGCAGAACATTCGATTCGAACTAAATTTGTTACGATCCAAATGCCCGCACATTCCAACATCCTTTGTGAGATTTGCTGTTTTACTTTGTACCTTAGATTATTCGTCTTGGACTTCGAACTCTTCGAAACGCGAAATTATGTTAAACTTGGCCGGTGTTATTCCTACAAAATCACATGGATTTTAGTAGTAATAACTTTTTAAAGACAGAGATTGACGAGCATGTAGTTCAATTGATGTTAGGTGATAAACCGCAGACTACAGCATCGAAACAAAATGCGCTGTCGACCCATTTTGGTTTCGGATAGTCGGAAACCCGCAGACTGAAACCAAGATTCCAATTCACGACTTTTTCATCTGCGGACGGTCCTATAATCCCACCACCCATTTAATATCCTAACGTGGGTAACGATACCACGAGCTGTTGATAATTATTCATACATTGCTACCACTAGACCAACAAGTCTATCGATTTACCCCTAATTATTTGGTGGAATTGGACTCGGAAGGCCTAAAATGCATTACGGGTACAGTATATGCCTCTTGCATCCCAATGGTCCATCTGAAAAACGGGACGGGACCTATCACCTACTAAACCGTTTGATATTTAGTCAAATTAACGAATATTTAAATAATGTAATAATACGAGTACTCTCTATGGTTTACGCAAGTATAACATATTTGAATTAAACACTTAAACAGTTTGAAACGCAAGATATATTTACCTTATTTAAAGTTTATTTTCGGCCCGACGTTTTAGACGCGCATAATGTACAAAAAAAATACATATAAATAATTTCTTTCTTTCTCTATGGGGCTTTCGAGGTCTTACAGGCAAGTGTATCGAACTTTTTCGCAATCATAAGATCGAGGGACGCAACATTTTGTTGTTTTGTTGTTGTTACAAATCTAATAAATTGTGTAAGGCTTTCACGGCCATCGTTCAGGTTGTTCGACCGATGTGAGCGAGAAGAGGTTCTCGACGCTCACATCGGCCGAACAGCCCGAAAGACAATGATATGCATTATAAATCTAATCGTGCAGACTTTCTCCAAGTACTTAAACAATCCCATTTTAAACTGGGCTAAAGTGCACGTTGTAAGCAGCCGCAAATAGCTGGCAGGTTAACTTTAATAATTATTTTTATATTTTAAGTATTTCTATTAATTATGGCGTCGGCCAGTCAGTCGGACATATCTGTGTCCAGGAGCTTTCGAAAATAACCATGGAACAGTCGTGGTGGTTGTCAATAGCTACATAAAGGATGAGAACTAAAATTTCTTTTGTCCATTATTCAGTAAAAATTCCATTGAGAATTTATCGCCTTTTGTATTCATAAGCTATTCAGAAGTTATTTTCGTGCTCGCCCCGTTCAAGTATACATTAACATTCAAACGGAATATTATTTCTCAATTAAAATGGGTGGATGTTAATAGCAGCTAATTATGCCTTTTGAAATAAGAAAATACAAACATTCGTCGAAACAAAGAATTCTCTGAAAAACATATTTTACATAACATTCTAACAATCGTTTTATAAGTCAACAAAAGTTCGCTTTAATTGAATGTCTTTATTCTATGACTATGTGTATACTGTGTATTCGTGGTTTATAATCTCTTAAAGGTCCTTGTCGTAATTAAAACAAGGTAAATAATAATATACATAAAAACTTAAATGACATGTGAAAAAAAATAATGATCGAAGGAACCAAATGTTTTTAACCTCTGACTTTTTCAGATCCGTGTTCAGAACACGAATGCGGCGATGGTAGCGTCTGTCAACTTAACGAGGTTCGGGCCCCAGTCTGTAGATGTGGCCCTCCGTGCGACCTGATCGTGCAGCCGGGGGCTGCTGTTTGCGGATCGGATTATAAGGACTATATCAGCGAGTGTGCTCTACGTCTGGAGTCATGTCGAACGAGGCAGCAGCTTTCAATAGCTTATAGAGGGGAATGTGCGTCAGGTATGTTTGACAGCTTAAAAATAAGCTATTCTAAGCTAAAAACTGATGCTTATGTTTAAGGAGGCAATAACATAAATAAGTATAGTTATAACTTATATAATAAACTCCACGGCTCATTGGTTAACCGTGTTGTCTTTTGTATTTAACACGAGAGTATTCTGGGTTCGAATCATTAATTGATAAAAAAATATCGTTTATTAAACCGACTGTGCAAAACACATTTGTACATAGTGTTTGAAATAACTATTACATTATTTAGCTTAGACTTGAGTAATTGTGTTAAGCCAATAGGATTTTTTTTACATAGAGGAGGACCCTCAAGCATATGATTCACTTGATGGATGGCGATGCGCTGTAGGCCTATTATTATTATTTCTAGATATTCGGAAAGCCAATCTATCGATAATATCCGGATTTCTAGATGAAAGCCAAAATTTCTCCGAAAAAATTTAGAAAATTTAGATCCGAATTGTTTAGAAACTTATTGATATTTCGATCGAACGCACGCCCTGTTGATTAATTCTTTTTAGACACATATTGGACTAATAAGCCCGTCATATTTATATCTATTGGCTGAAAAAAATAAGGCCTATGTTTTGGGTATCGTCATCTTGTACGATGAATAAATTCCTTATATTAAATGTAATAGCAAAATACCTGAACGAACCTGCCAATTGGGAAATGATTAATACATTTTTATAATCAAATAATAATATCAATTAAACTGCCGCTCGAAATTAAACAGAGATTCCCGGATTCGATTTAATAGAATTCATTCCTAAGGCGGAATTCGTAACGAAATGTTTCGGTTTTACAAATATTCACCTCGGAGTCGCGACGTCTTATCTATAATTAAATCGGTCTTAGCCAAACATCCGACACTTATTGAGGTTCTGTTTGTCGGACATTTTCTCAGAAAGTAAGGTAAGCTTGATGTGTTGTCCGTCCAAAAGCCGTTGTAACTGGTGCTGTAAAACATCCAAACTGTAAAACATAGCCTTACTTAAAATATTTTTCAAATAAGTTTAACTAACATATATCGCGTTTTAAGTTAAAGTGGTTTATTTAAATGTATACCACTCGCGTAAACTACAGACAGTTTTTAATTTTATTGAGTTATGTTATTAGTGGCACTTTTCAACAAGGTAAACTTGTTTTAGCTCAATTGGTAAGAGCATCACAGATGTCTGTAGATGCAGGGCCAAGTCCTGCGCCTGTCGTTAATTTTTTTCAATCTAAATTTATTTTTAATTTACTCAAATTACCTGTGTAGGGAGGGACACACATAGAAAATCAAAATGTTGATGCACTTTATTTCTAAATGAAATCAAAACTATCGTCTGATATTAATTATCAATTAGTCTTTAGTTTTGTGGTTTTGGCATTTATTGGGTAATTTTTAATTATATTTTGTGATTGAATGTAGTCATTTTTTTTGAAATCTTTAAAGCTCTATTATTAATTTTATATGAATCTATTTACACAAAGATTGATTGCATCCACAGTGTTACGTGCTGCTCTAACTCATTGAGCTACAATGCCTCACACCTCATCGTCGAACTTATCTAGCCGGAAAGCTTATTTTAAATATTTGAAGATCTGTGTTACATCCGATACACTGATAAAATGTGATTCGTTCGTCTTTGCTACATTAAAAATTCCTGTAAGCCTTTTCGCCAATGTGTTATTGCTGTTTTCATTATGTTGCACAAAGGTATAATAACATGAGAGGAAAAATTTCAATAAACAATATCATCCTTTGCACGTTTTTATAGACATATCTCGGTTTTCCTAAGTAAATATAGATTTAGTTTCCGTATTGTTTTTAAATTAATATGTCTCCAGTTCCCTACTATAAAAAAATTAAAACAATAAATACATCATTTAAAAATCGAAAATTAATTTGAAAAATTTTTTCCCCCGGGGGGGGGGGGGGGGGGGGCCGGCGGCCTTCCGGGGGGGGGTTCCCCCCCTGGGGGCGGGGGGGCCCCCCCCCCCCCCCCCTTTTTTTTTCCCCCCCGGGTTTTTTTCCCCCCCCCCCCCCCCGCGGGGGGGGGTGTTTTTTTTTTTTTGGGGGTTGTGAAAAATTTTTGGGTTTTAAAAAAAAATTTTTTTTTTTTTTTATATTTTTTTTTTTTTTTTTTGGGCTTTTTTTTTTTTTTTAAAAAAAAAAAAAAAATTTTTTTCAATAAATACATTATTTGAATTATTTTAAATTTCTTAGATTTTTACATTATTTGAATTCTTTTAAATTTTTTGTGTTTTCGCGTTTATACCGCTTAAATTGCTTTTAACAATAAATTCAATAATAGCTACTGGCGTAAACTACAGACTACACGTTTGTTACTAATTGACTTAAGCTGGTCTACAAATTTTATTATATTGCAGATTGAAAAAAAAATTTTTTTTTTTTTTTTTTTTAAAAAATTTTTTCCCCCTTCAAAAAAAAATTCCTTGGGGGGGGTTTTTTTTTTTTTTTTTTTTTTTGGGGGGGGGTTTTTTTTTTTTTCCCCCCCCCCCAAAATTTTTTTTTTTTTTCCCCCCCCCGGGGGGGGGGGAAATTTTTTTTTTTCCCCTAACAATTTTTTAATAAATCAATCTATATAAAACAAATATGTAATAATTCAATTAAAACATATTAATCTCACGTAAGTACAATTTTAAATAGTAAAACAAAGGGAATACAATGTTCTGAGCAGAACATAGTTTAATAATCTGTGCAGTTTCGGATTATTTCAAGAGACCTGTCGTCTGTAGTATACGCAAATATACATAAAAAAAAACGCTTCAAAAGCTTTAAAAAACAAATGTTATATTGGGCTTTTTAGATATTACTTATGTAAAGATACGTTATTTTTCTTTATTTCACATTTAATTTCTTTGACACAGCGCAACACCCATGTGAGTCTGTGAAGTGTGGAGTCCGGGAGGTGTGTACTCTGGATGCCTATGGGGTTGCTGTGTGTGGCTGCGGTCCAGATTGCGAAGAGATAATGAGACTAGTCTGCGGTAGCGATGGCAAGACTTACGACAACCCGTGCTTGCTCCATCGCGCTGCTTGTCTGGAGAATCGGGATATAAGAGTCGCTTATATGGGTGGTTGTGGTGAGTAAATTTCTAGAATCTTTTTTTCGATCGGACTGGGCACAGAAATTTGAATGACTTGCTTATTATTATATACTACATAGATCTATGGTTAAAGGCAATTGTATTTCTTTAAGCGCAAGAGGTCCGGGGTTTTATTCCCGGAGAGACTATTTTTCGGTCGGGCAGGGCACATAAATCTGTTAAACTTACCTTGTAAACCCATTAAAAGTAGTAAAAACTTAACGGTTAAACGTGGTTTGCACTGCGTTGAGCACGACAGGCCGAAGTTTTATTCCAGGAGACACATTTTTCGATTGGGCAGGGTACAGAAATCTTTATAACTTGTATAACACATTAAGGAACACAATACAATTTATTTTATATAAATTTATCTTTAAATGTGGTTTGCATTTCCTTAAGCACGAGAGCTCCGGGGTTTGATTCCCGAGAAGACACCATTTTCCGTTCTAGCAGAGCACAGAAATCTGAATAATTCACACAAAAACGCGTTTCCCCACGACCCGCTTGATAAAAACGCATTTTTGTTGTGTAATTGCACTCACATTTTTTCTTAATACGTTTTTGTGTCAACGCAACAGTACTCCAATGAATGAAAACTCGGTTCACGGCTTTATAATCGTGCAAACTCTACGCTAGCAGAATCCTTACAAGTTAGAACTACTTAACGCGACAGCTAAGTCAACCAACAAAATATATTATTACCTATAGAAGCAACCGTTTAATTAAGAGATTTATGACTCTAATTCAAAACCATCAACAATTTTACACATTATCACAAATAAAACACTTTGAACGGTTTAAAAGCGAAATGTTTTACTTAAACTTATTTGCAAGGGACTAGAGTCTCCCCGTGACCGCGGTTGCTACAAAACCACGAGTCTCGTTTTTCGCAGTTGTAATATTGTTAGTTTAAACAAGGCTGTTAAGTGCAAGCTGTCTTAGGTTCGAATCCCGGGAAAAAGTAGATTATTTCAGGCAAGGTAGACATGAACTGACACAGAAATGTCTTCGCCGCATGCTCCGCGGGGGAAGGGATTAGGTAGTTATAGTAGTTGCAGTGTCAAAATAAAATTATTGCTAACTAACGCCATCTAATGAGAAACACTGAAAGTTTATTTCATTCGTTGCATAGTATCAATTTTGTCCTTTTCCTAAGCTAGACTTTTTGCAGGTATTGAAAACCCTTGCGCCCTGGCGAGTTGTCCTTGGGGTGGAGCGTGTGTCGCCCGCGGTGGTTCAGCCCAATGTTCTTGCCCTGTCTGTGACTCGAACCTGGCACCCGTTTGTGCCTCCGACCATAACACTTATGGCAGCGAATGCAAGATGCGCATGCATGCTTGTCAGTCTGGTATTGGAGAACACGAGCTCAAAGTGCTGTACAATGGAACTTGCTGTAAGTGTTTTATGATTTGATTACATAATATTAATTTAATAATATTAAGATATAGGAGAACATATTTCGGAAAATATAAGAAATATGTTTGGAGGGGAAAAACAAGATTTTACTTATTAATCGTTTATTTATTTCATCAATGTATATAAAATATTTATACACTCGCTGTGTCAGCGACTTCCTCCGCGTAAAACAGTTATATTGGGCATAATATTTGTTTTTGTAAACCTCCTCTCTAATTTTATAAATTTAAGCTGTTACCCACGCTGTTAGAACTTGTTACCCACGACGTCGTTCGCGTCGCAGCGTTCACGTCCCGTTGAAAATTAATATTAAAAGTCGGACATATACGGTTTTGGACATTTATTTAGATCATTTAAAGAGGATATAAATATAGATAAGGATATAGATAAATCATCTTTGATAATTTTATTTTTGGTTTAATGTTTTCGCAGAAAGATAATTAATTAATAAATAAATAATTTTCCCCGTCTGTTCCACATTTCCCACTGCATATCTTCGATAAAACCAACACAAAAATAATTTTCAATACGAACCAGAATTTCCTGAGATTAGCGCGTTTAAACAAACAAACAAACAAAGATACAGACAAACTACGTCACGCATCTAAATAGATTTGTATGTTCATTACATAGCTACCTATCATTGTAAAGCTATAGGTAGGAAGTAGCATATCCAATTAGGAAAACTATTAGTATACCGCTAGTGAATAAGCACCTTTTAATTTTATTTCCGGTTTTCCAAGTAATATCTGTTAGAATGAAGTACCTTGGAATTTTTCCATCCGTCATTCAGATTTAAGCCCTCTCCGCGGTGAATGTAAAAGTAAAGATGAAATCAATTATAAAATTCCCTCGGAAGAAAAATCGCTATCAATTTCCCGTGATGAAAGTCTTCGTCTTTTATAAAGTTGTCAATAAAAGGCGCACGAGATTCCTTTGGCGTAAAAATGCTTTATAAAGGGAGAGCTTGTTTTTAATATCGCGGCCTCGACGTAGTTTCTAATGAAATAAATTAGTCTGCGGAGACTCGGCGAACTGCAGATTATAAGAAAAATTGTCGCGCATTTTGTTGTTAGTTTTCTCGCGTTTCCCACTGCTGGGACCCCGGACTTAACGTTAACCAAAAATGTATAAACATTTGACATGTTGCCGAATTGTGCCTTTTTTATGAAATGGGACATTGGGGTTTACTTGATTGAAGGTGAAATCCAGACTTTTGCAAGGTGCGCTATCGACCTATTTTGGCTTGAATATTCGGAAATCCATACACTGAAATCAAAACGCGATATAACTTCACGGCTTTTCTGCGGACGATGCTTGATATTCCTACCATCCATTTAATATTCAGATTGCCAGACAAAGTTTAACTCGATTCAGAAAAAAAAAATGATTTGAAGCCCGGTGGTGATAGAACCCAGGCCCGTACATTACTAACCATAAATTGCTACCAAAAGACCAATAACGCCGTCAAAAACTCATCTTCATTGTTTCGTAGAATATCATATTATTAAAAAAATAAAAATCTTTTATTGTCTGTCTGTGTGTGCAATCACTGCCCCTAGAATCACTGATTAAAAGGTGACATGCCTTTTGAAAATCGAACGAAGTAAATTCACACACAAGTAGACCACGCTTCGTAATGTAGGTTTAACGCCATTCAAACACGATATCTGTCCCTTCATTTGAATGGCTAATTCATATCCTACAGTTGTGCGTTGATAAGCAGTATGATACCATGGAATCCATCAGCTCGTTGAAATGTCAATTAGCGATAGAACAGCTCCGGAGTAATGGAAAGAGGCCACGGATTAACGAGAGACAAAGGATTAATTTTACACAATCTTATTGGTTATTGAATCAATATTGGACGACGCTATCCTACCGTAATAGCTTTCATATTTTAATGAAATCTCTTTTAGAGGGCTCAGCGAGCTACTTTGAGAATTGCTTTCAAAGACGTTTTGACGTTGAACGACAGATTTAAAGTTATTTTAGATAGTCTACTGAGAGGGACTATTAAGTTCGACCTCTATACTAACATTTTAAAGCTGAAAAATGATGCTAATCTCACTAACTGGTAGTTAGAATTTAAATTTGGTTACGTGTGAGATTCCAGTGATGGATGTTTATTTATATCTTATTGAGTACTAAGTAATTGAAAAATTATTAACTTAAACTTAATCTAATAAATTTCTTTATTTTAATTATAATATCATCGGAACCGTGGGTGGTAATTTCTAGCTATCGCAATGTAAAATATTCTATAACTTTTTATAGTTAATATTTAATCTTCTTTCTACCAATTTAATATCTAGACATCCAGACGAAGTGCAACATATTGTAAATTTATATTTTTTTCTGACATATGTAAATGTAATTTTTTATTTGTAAATATTAAAAACATCAACTCAATGGAGATCGTACCCACGACCCGTTAATTATAAAAAAAAGAGTCTAAAAAAGAAAAAGTGATTATGTTGTCTAGTCCTTTCTGCGTTAACAATTTAACAAAAATAATTTAAATCTTTTAATCTACTTCTTCTGTATGAAAGAGACGTTTTACGATGTTTCTTGTATCTATTCAAAGCATTCAAATGGCTAGAACCTAAATTTGCATTGTTTTTTGTCCAGTGACCTGCTCAGACATCGTATGCCAGGGCGGAGGTGACTGCGAAGTGGACTCTGAATCCGGCCGACCTATTTGTCGTTGCAACCACAACTGTACGGAACCAAAGGTAAACCTTTTATTGTCTGTGTTTAATTTGTCAAATATGTTTTTCACATGTTGCACACGATGGCGTTGTATATATTAAATATCGATTTTAAAAAAACGACAAGGACAGGACTTCAACTCGACAACCGCGACATTTCATCTTGCTGCTGAAACTAATTGAGCACAAAAGTTCCATTATTGACACGGCAGATTTAGATACCTTAATATCCAGGTTTCCAGACAAAATCAAAAGCTGGATTAAATTAATTAAAAACATATTGGACCCGAAGGGGATCGAACCCACATCCGTTGATCAAATCATACTGAACCTTTAAAAAAAAACAATTTTAAATATATCCTAATTTAAACAAAACGCTTTCTTAAAAGCAAATATATCAGTTTATGTATGTTTATTAGTCGATGTTTGTGACGCTTTTATTCATCATAATATGTTTTTGACATTTAAATTTTCTTATGAAAATAAACGTTATATTTTGTAAAGGTTTTATTGATTGACTAAGGAAAATGTTCACATAGATTATTACGAGTTTGCGTGACGCTACGAATAGACAAAATTTGTGGCTACGTTACTATGATTAATTATAAGCTATCCAAAACAGATATAACATGCGGGTAGTTCCACAATCTGTGTTAGCGCGGGTTTAATTTAATCAAACTTTTAATAACACTAAAAGCCTCGTTCGATGCGCAAGTCAAATGCTATATTTACATAGTTTTATAAAATGTATGAATGTTCTACAAAAAAAAATGATTTTGAATGCTTGATTTTTTTAATATATATTTAACTAATTTAGGGTGGATTTATTACAACAACTTTTGTTTAATTAATGATAATAAACTTAGGATGCACTCACAAGTGAAATACTCCCGCCGTATAATATCTAAAGAAGATGGGCAGTTGACCTATTTTGACTATAAACCTAATTAGAAATCACAGATTAAAAATTTGTTTGACGATGATTCATGACTTAGGCGCAATTTACCTACAATATTTTGGAGGATGCCTTTACCCAAACCGGAGTTTTTGTCGATTTACAAATTTTGAACACTATATAAATATTTAAATTACTAACATTCTAAGCTTATTTATTTATTATTGCTTTATTATTTATAAACACACCACAGAAAATACACATAAATAAGGAAAAATCTTATGTGCTAACTTATAAATAAAATGCGGCCTTATCGCTAAGCAGCGATCTCTTCCAGGCAACCTGAAATACAGGAATAACAATATAACAAAATATTTTGTGGGTGTAGAGGTGTAAGGAATAACAAAGAATATCATATAGGTACACAGTGAAAGTACACACAACGAGTAGGAGAGACTAACTACTTCTACTACTAACTAACTAACTTAAATATTGGAAACATAAAACTTATACAGCAGACTCTTAAAAGTACGGAGTGATTGAGCTTTTCTGATATTAGCGGGGAGAGAATTCCAAAGACGGATAGCTTTAACTGTGACGTAATTATTAAAGAAAGAGCTTTTATGTTCAGGAACAAATAGAAGGAGATTAAATACTGTCTATAGTTTACGCGAGTAGTACACATTGAAATATAACACTTTAACGGTTTAAAACGCGATATATTAATTAAACTTATTTGAAAATGATTTTTGAGTCTAAGTCTCCCCGTAACCACGGCTGCTGCAATGCATCCGAAACGTCGGGTCGGCCGTTTTTCAAATAAGTTTAACTAATATATCGCGTTTTAAACCATTAGAGTGTTTTATTTAAATAGAAGGAGATTATCAATCGAACGAAGATTTAACTGGTGGGAACTTAAATATCCTATATATCTCTTTTAAATAAGAGGGAGTTTTGGGATCATAAAGGACACGGTTGAGAAGATGGAGTAGATGAGAATTCCGATCAGTTTGGATTGGGAGCCAGTTAAGCTTTCTACGAAATTCAGAAACGTGATCATATTTGCGAAGGCCAAAAATGAAACGGATACACGTATTCTGAAGCCGCTCTACTTTGTCAAGTTGGAGTTCAGTTAAATCAGTAAATGAGACATCGGCATAATCTAGAATAGGGAGTAAGAGAGACTGAGCCAGTAAAATTTTTGGATGGGAAGGAAAGGAGAGGGAGGGGGAGGAAAGGCTTAGGTACTAACAAAATCTCTTTAATGTCATATGTCAACTAATAATGTAAAAAGCAAGAAATAAAAGGTTTATTATAATTATTATTATATACTGATCAGATTACATCATCAATTGATTTTAGAAACATGTAAGCCCCGGGTCTTATTATTATCGGCTAATTTCTACAATTCAATAAGTTTTGTACTGGATTCTTTGACTATAAAGATATAATTTGTTGTTATCAGGTGACAGATGTAGTATGTGGCAACGATGGTCAAACGTATTCTTCGCAATGTGCCTTGGATTCAGCAGCTTGTCGAGAACAGAACGACTTACGTTTAGCTTATAATGGCGATTGTGGTAAGTTTAAGTTAAAACAAAAACATTAAACGCAAGACGTTTAGCCGTTTATTTCATTTCAGAATCATTGTGGTAGTTTATTTTTCAATATTGTTACGGTGTGATGGGTACAGAAATATAATTAAGAAATTTAAATAAATGTAGCTGCCAGCTATGACACTTTCTTAGCTAAAATACGAAAAAAAACTTTTTTGACGGTACTTTTATTCAAATCAGGCGCACTTTGCTGACATCAGTCAAGTATTGTATATATAATCTATGTAAATAATAAAAGTCTATTGACACTGTCTATAGTTTACGCATGTAGTACACATTTAAATAAAACACTTTAACTGTTTAAAATGCGATATATTAGTTAAACTAATTGAAAATTATTTTTAAATCGTCTCCCCGTGACCACGGCTGCTGCAAAGCTCCTTTAACTTCGGGCCGAAGTTAAAAATCATTTTCAATAAGTTTAACTTATACATCGCGTTTTAAACAGTTAGTGTTTTATTTAAATAATCTATTGACATTAAGAATCGACACGGCCCGGATTTGAACCGGCGTCCTCAGCGATCCGTGCTGCTGCTAACCAATTAAGATACCGTGTCTTCTTCCGCACTAACATATTATAAAAAATAGATTTTTAAATCACTATCAGTAGCTTACACAAGTAGGACACATTTATATAAAACTTATTAGCGGTTTGAAACACGCAATATATTGACAAGGCTGTAGCAAATCATTCGCAAAGCTTGGTCGTAATCAAAACTAAGTTGACTAAAATACATCTCGTTTTAATCCGACAAGAGTGCAACGATCGATTTCTGTCAATGAAAATTATTTGTCCCTTATTTATAATTGCGTCTAAGAGCATCTTTATAAATAGAGCGTTAGTGTCAATGTCCAGAACAGTAATCTGGTTTCGACCGCGTGTTCCCGCAGTAACCTGCGGCCGGTCTACAATGGCGATTGTGGTTAAACTCGTCATGCATATTTCAAATTAACTCGTGGTCTAGCGCAAACATTTGACGTGATTGTCGGCAACATTTGCACAGAACACTAATATTGCAGCCCTAGAGTGAATGTAAACTTAATACCGACTTGATTTAACTTTGTCATTTGAAGCTTTCGTAGAATTTGTTTAGAGGCAGAATTTAAAAATGGAACATTTAACTTTTGCAGTTTAAATCACTTATTAAGGGGGGTGTCTTTTTTGGGCCCCCCGGGTTTAAGGATTTCGTTTTTAACCTAATGTCCCACTCCTTTTTAGAGATTTTCGAATTAAAATTCGCCAGTCTGTTCCAATGCGGGTTGATGGAGTTTAACCAACATCTAAGTACAATCTCTTAATCCTAACGGCTCAGCACTCGGGAGCCCGAATGTCATTTTTTTCAAATTTTGATCTAGTAGAAGATACTTTCTTTTACCCACTCCAATATTTGAGTCCGAGAGCTCGTTTTATCATGTAAAATCGAGCGTACTAATTGACAAATGGGGTAACAATATCCTACTGCAAAAACAGCTGAATATATAAATTTATCCTTTGTGCTTAGCTGGCTTACGTCAAACGATTAACTCGTGTCAAATTATATGCGGCAATAACGTATGGTTGGTTGACTCCAGCGAATGGAACGATAAATTCTACTCTGATCCTAGTATACAGAACATTATCCTACATTTAGCCTACTTTAGTTTACTTAGAATTCATGAAAGTTCGTCCAACAGTTATTTGATGATTTATTAAAATAGAAATAAGCATTATTTTATTTTCTTCATTGTTACAAATTCAAAATAATGCGACGTAAATGAAGATAAAAATTTTAAAGTGGCAGCAAGTTTATTTTCCGTTCTTGTTTGTTTTACGTCCTTCATTCAAGAACTGTTAATCGTAACTGAAAAATAAACATTTGGGGCCTTTTATTTCAGTAGTCTGCTTAAATAAATAATATTTAATTTGAATCAGAGAAAACCAATCTTAAAGATTAACAGTGCTACAACTTATGACGCAAGGCCTTTTTGGTATTACTTTTATTCAAATTAAATTATTTTTTTTCGTATTCATTATTTTATTGGAATTATATTTATTTCTACTGGTAATATTAATGAATGTACTGAATGAATGCCAAGTTAAGAAAAACGATGAAATATTTTTGATAGTTCCAAAAAAATATAGTTCGATATAAAACACCAAATATATACCTAAAATAAACAATAGCGGTCTCTCGTCTAGTTAAACGTGATTATTCACTAATTGCACCACAAAATGACTTGGAAAATCGTAACGGCTTAATTATAAAGTATTCAAGGCTTGTACGCGTTAATTTATGTAATTATTTAAAAATGGCTACGTTTCAACTTAAGAAATAACATAATCTTGCTTCGTACATAATTACATTTTTTAGAACAATTACATTATAATTGGAAAGGGAAGTATAATATTGGTTCACTTATTTTTTTTATACATAGTGAAAAAACAAATAAATCCTATGCTTGAATTAAGTAGTATAATCGACTACAACATCATTGCATCGCGCTGGTACATTGTATCAGAGTCAAGAAGTGCTCCGAAAAAATAAAACACTACCCACCTAGGTATTTAGTGGTTGTCTTAAAAGGACATGCATCCTACGAAGTCCTGAACATAAAATTTAATAAAATAATACATATTTAAAATCTTATAAGGCACTCGGTTATTTTTAAAACTACTTGAATTCTCGAGCTGTTCGGCCGAAGGAATTGTTCGTTTGCAAAATTCGTCGAAAACAATTTCTGAATTACGACGGTCGAACACCTAGTAAACGCAAGAAATAATTACATATAAGATTATTAGTTAGTTAAGTATAGTTAATAACAATGCAATTGATTAACTAACACTTGCAAATCCCACAATCACTTTAAAGTACGGATAGAGTGAACATCAAAAATTAAAAAACTCAAGAGGATTATTGGCTGGAATCCTTCATAAAGCAAAAAGTTCTCGGCAACAATGAGCCTTACTGACATTAAGAGATTGTCCAAAATTTTAATTAGAGCTCGTCAACGTATGAGTAATAATGGAGCAGGGACACAAAGGATGTTATGAAATTGTGAAGTGCCAGGAGAACTTTAATATTAACGGATATTATGTTCGTTCACGATAAGTTTTGGGATTATGAACGCTCTAACAACTAATTCTATAACTCAACAGAACTTCTATCAGTGTGTTATTGTGTAGTTAATGTTTGTTAGAAAGTCGTGACGTCTCTTTGGCTTTGTGCTGAAGAGTTTAATTAGATGATATCATTTCTAATCAACGTTTCTAACAATGTTAATGATGGTATGGATAGCACAAGAAATAATCTTTATAGCTTCATAAACTCCTATAATTAAATTATGTCCACATTACTTATAGCTATTAAAAAATATTTTTATTTAACACTAGCTGTACCACACTTCGTCCACGTAAAATAGTATTTTTTTTTAATTTTAGCTTTTACCTAGGACGTCATCCGCGTTTACCTTAAAAGATAGACATATAATATACTATCACGGACATTTTTTAAGACCGTTTAAATATAAATTATTCATTCATACATATTTTTTGGGTATTTGGTTTTTCAACGAACGCAACTAAACGCTTTCCACATATCTCACACTTTCTTCGCTTTATTAGTCTCGATAAATGTTTAAACCTTTATATGTTACAAACAAACAAACTCTTCAGATTTATAAATAGATAAATTAATACACCTAAGGGAAGAAAATTCGATAGCCATGCATAGTTAAAATAAGAAATGAAATTAATCCAAATTCTTCCTTGGCTTTGTTAAATACTGTTATACTATAACACTGTTACACTAGTCTCTAATCCTCGGTTTATGTTTATAGTCTTCAATATCCCCTTTAGCACATGTACTTGTTGCCAAGCTTATCCCTTTTCAGAGATTCATGCCTGTTTCTGACTCAGCTATCAAAAAGTTTTAATTACCCTACATACCTTTTAAACTTTCCTTTCTTTTTACCAGAAGCCAAATAATTTTTAATTCTTCACAACCAGTTTTTCGCGAAGCGGTAATCGACCGCGTTCACGAGATTTTCATTTTGCACAAAAGTAGCAAACAATCGTTATTAAATTTTCACGGTCTCTTCCCCCATTCCTCATTGCGGAAAACGGAAAATCTAAACACGTCTGTCTGGAGTAAAAATAGTAATGAAATAACGAGGGAAAAATATTGTCCCGACAGTTTTTAGTTGGTGGATTTAATGAAAGGTATCGTAACCACTATACCGTAACATACTATAGTTGTAAATTTAGAATGTTAATAAACATGTGTCTTCATATATGCTAGCTTATAATTTATTTAATTATATTGAATTTTATTAATAATACAATATAATAACTATGTTGTTTTATTTTTAATTCTGTCTCTAGTAGTCTAGCTAAGGACGGAGTCTTCCCTCCTTTGGTCAGATGGGATCTTTTGCTTTACTTAATTACTACTGATTATAATATTTTCCTTTAATCAATATGCTCTACACATGATATGCGATGATTTTAACAGCGTTTTTTTTCCAATGGAAACGGGACTTATGGCATAGAGGTAACATATAGTTTTCAGAGTCGTGCCACGTCCCAAGCGTGGCGATTGTTACGGCGTAGTAGGCGGAGACCCTAACTCGTTTATTTTTATAGCTCTCTGTGAAGAAGTGCAGTGCTCGTATGGTGCTCACTGCGTGGCTGGGGAGTGCTTATGCCCAACAGACTGCACTGGGGCTCCTCACGAGCCAGTCTGTGGAAGCACAATGCAAACATATCCGAACGAGTGCGAACTACAAAAGGCGGCTTGTGGAGTGCCACCACCAACAAAGCTGCACGTCATTTTCTATGGAGACTGCAAAGATAGACTCGCTGTGGTTCCACCTATAGCTATGAGTAAGTAACTTGACTTTTAACTTGGCATGGAATTACTTAAATCTTTAACCGAATATCCAAAACTAAAAAGGGTCGTTAGCACATCTAAAAAATATGTTATATATTGGGGTATTCCTACCATCAAGTCAACTCATGCTTATCCTCCTCTAACATATTTAAACGACTTTAAAGTTTAAAGAAAATATTTGCTCGACTATCTGTTGTTTCTAACAAACAAACTAACTTTCCGCCTTATCGCATGACTAACACGCAAATATTTGCATGCCATGACTAGCTACGACCGCGATGACGACCACCGTTGGCGAGAATGAGGCTACGGACTCCTTGGGGGCGACTGATGAAGTAACCAGCCCATCAGCATGTCGCGACATCCGCTGTGACTTTGATGCCAGCTGTGAGATCGGCTTTGATGGCTATCCACGTTGCTCTTGTCTCTTTGAATGCCCCACTGAGGATGAATACTTTCCGGTCTGCGCGTCCGACTTTCGACTTTACCCGAGTTTGTGCGCGATGCGGAAAGAGGGTTGCCAGAAACAATTAGAGCTAAGATTACGCCCGTTGGATTTGTGTAAAGGTTCGCTAATCTTATATATTGCGTAAGATTCTTATGACCTGTGCTTAAAAAGAAATTTAGATATCTATAATCTTCTGGTATTAATTTTTACTTATAACTCGAGACAGATATTCTTGATTAATTCTTTTCTGAATTGCTACAGCAGCTGTGGTCCAAAATGTCGGGTTTTACGATGAAAAATAAGTTTCACATTTTAAACCGTGTTAAAAGTGTTTTTTTTTCAAAGATTGCCATTTTTATCATAGAGTGTTTATTTTTGTAGAATTGAGGTAGAATTTCATTTATACAATTGATCGATTTAAGTGCCTTGTCCGAACGAAATTTATGTTACAGTTTATGCTTTGAATTCATAGCTTATCGCGATGAATGGCGAGAGACAATCACAATAAATAGACGATGTGAACGAGCCTTCATATAAACAAGCACACTCAATAATCCGTTATTTATAGGCATGGAAGTTAGGCCGTGCGGGAACAGCAAAGCAATGATCGATACATCCACGGGCCTGGAAATAGACTGCGGAAACGGACCTCATCGGCAGGACTGTCCTCTGGGGAGCTACTGCCACATCACACTCACTGCCGCGAGGTGCTGTCCAAAGAGTAAGCTAGCATTGACAATAGCTCAAAAGAAATTTTTTGATTATTCAAATATATTTTATACTCTTTTATGGCATAAGATACTATAATATGTAAACATTTCAGTTATTTGTTTGGATCTTATGTATTCGGATAATATATTATTTTTCACATATAAGCTAAAGTGCCATGTGACAAGGTAGCTCAATTGGTTAGTTAGATTGTTAAGGAGCTGTTGTGCAACCAATAATCTATAGTTGGCTTCGATCAACATTTTCTCTTTTTTTATTTTTATTTTGGACTTCGTCCGGAAATCTGGATATTAAATGGGTGGTAAGAATATCGAAATTCCGTCACGAACTACCGTACACAGATGAAAAACCCGTGAAAATAAATCAAATTTCAGCCTCAGTCTGTGGATTTCCGAATATCCAAAGCCCAAATAGGTCGACATATTTTGTTTAGATGTTTGTCTTTCTCAATCAATAAAGACAGATTTTTAATGCATACAATAATATGTACCTAGTTATAATAAATTTTATTACATTGTAATACAAATCATGTAATGTTGAATAAAAAAATGTCTTTAGTTTTCGCGGGGAGAAAAAAAAAAAAAAAAAAAAAGGCGGAAAGGCGGGCCGGGGGAAAAAAAAAAATTTTAAAAAAATTTTTATAAAAAAATCGTTTTTTTTAACCAAAAATTTTTTTTTTTTTATGTAATGTTGAATGTTAAATTCAAATTAAAGGCTGGTACAAACAGAAGTATCTTTGAAATGCCTTAAATTAAAGGCATTCCCGTTTCCATAACATATGTATTATTAATACGAGCTCTCGTCGCCGCGTTAACTCGTAATATTATGTATTCAAAAACATTTACATCAGTATGTTTCAAATGCAAAACAGAAAGCTCATCCCAGGGGTACACAACATTTCGGGAATTAAACTGAATACGTGATGATTTAAGTTGAAAACGCGAAAAATAATTTTCAAATGTTGCTCTACTTAACATCTACTTTCTTTCATTTGAAAGTGAGCGTCCTAGGATACTAGGAGCCTTAGTGAATTGAATAGAATCACGCACGCTATAACGGTTTTGAGCTACTTAAGTTTAGTGTTATAAAACGCTCTTCAGCTTTTGGGCAAGGCCGCCAGATTTAAATAACATTTGGTTCATGAGAAATTTTCAGATAAATTTATTTGGCTTATATATGTATAGTCAGAATAAATGTGGAGGAAATTTGGATTGAATAGCATTTATGTGAAATATTAGCTGTGCCCGCGACTCTGCCCCTGTGGAATAGTGACTTGGGTAGAATTTTTAATTAATTTATGTAAGGGCACATTTAAGGCAGCCAATCTATGTTGTAAATGCTACTTTTCCGCAACACTATCACTTCACATTACTCCTACTCAAACTCCGACTCTCATTTCTACACTCATTCGTACTCACACCGTTTTATTTTCGTAAGATTAATATTATTATTGACATAACTTAAGCAATCATTGTACGTATACTCTTCAATGATCATAAAAGAGATATAATTCCTTCATAAACAAACAAATTTTCAATTCAATCGAGTAGTTCCTGAGATTACCACGATCAGACGACAAACTCTTCAGCTTTATAATATTAGTGTGCGAGTTCTAAATTTGAATTCTCATCCAGACGATATGAAGCAAGACGAAGAAAGGAAGGCAACACACTGTTCGGCGAGTGCGTTCGGATGTTGTGCGGACGGATCGACGTTTGCGACTGGACCCAATGAGGACGGGTGTCCAATAACGAGCTCTACTTGCGGTTGCAATCGACTTGGGTCGGTGTCGGATCAGTGCGATGATAGTGGTCAATGTGTGTGTCGCCCGGGCGTAGGCGGTCTTAAGTGCGATAGATGCGAACCCGGCTACTGGGGATTGCCCCGGATAGGATCGGGACACACTGGATGTATACGTAAGCATTCTAAATTCAAATTATTTTATTTATTTGCTTATTTACTATTTATTGTATACACTTTGTATAATGTATAGTAAAAGTTTCCTAAAAGTATTAGAGAAAAATAATATTGTGATTTAGTATTATTAATAATGTTTACCATGTTTAAAGTACATATTTTAACATCCGTTTACTAATGCCTAATTTGGAATCACATGTTTTAAAAATATATATACTTATTATCCATCTTCTTATGTATATGTTCGTTGAAGTAAAGAGTCAATTATTATTATTATTATTTAGGTTCTTTTTTAATACATTGGTTACACCCTTGGCTTTGGATCAGATTAAAAATATATATACCTATACCAATGCTTATAGTCGTTGAAGTAAAACCACAAAAGTTGTTTGTCACAGCGATTGTATATTTCAACATAAAAAAGGTATAAAACCGATTTTACACTTATAACGATTTCGCTGAACGCTGCCAAAGGTCGTAGTTAAAATAGCTTACCAAAAATTTGTGTTTTGTACTGATGATGGTGTTTATTCTATTGCCATTCGTTAAGTTTGCATATAGCGTTAAAGGTTGAGTTAAAAAATAATTATTTTGCAAGTTCAGTAGCAATGCAATATTTGATTCAACTCTACATAAACATTTTTATAGCTTGCGGATGTTCAGCGTTCGGCTCAGTTCGTGAAGATTGCGAACAAATGACGGGACGGTGTGTTTGTCGATCTGGGGTCCAGGGTCAGAAATGTACCGTCTGCGCGGACCATAGACGCCGGCTGGGACCTAATGGCTGTTCTGATCGTGAGTAATTTAGTTTTAAATACTGCCTGTAGTTAACGAGTAGTACACATTTAAAAACACTTTAACGGTTTAAAACGAGATATATAAAACTAAACTTTTTGAAAAGTTTAGTTCCAAATAAAACACAAGGTTAAACGCGATATATACAAACTTTGCCTGACCATGGCTGCTGCAAAGAACAGACAACGCCTAGTTAAAAATCTTTCAATAAGTAACTAGTACTCGCAACCGTTAAAGTGTTTTATTTACATGTTACCACGGCTGCTGCAAAGTTCAGTTCCGCAAACGTACGACAGAACAGATAGTAAAAATTTTACTTTGAGTAGAGTTAACCTATATAGTCTCCTCGCGTTTTAGACCGTTAAAGTGTTTTATTTAAATTTAGTTTTAAGTACAAGTGACGTAGACATAATATTAAAACTAAATCTAAAGTGATTTGACAGATTGGTGTAATAAGGTAGCATGAATAGCAATTACGAGTCGATGATTTTATTTTACTAACAATTTATAATTTATATGAAACATGTTGGACTTCGCTTGGAAATCTGAATATTAAATGGTAGGTAGGAACATCAAAATCGTCCGGGTCACGAACCTTTCCACAGATGAAAAAATTGTCTATAGCTTCGCGTTACCGTTTCAGTCTATGGATTTCCGAATATCCAAAGCCAATGCATCTTGATAAGTTATTATATAGCTGGGGTACATCACATATCAAACACAATTCTTATTTGGTGTCTACACTTGTTAAAATAGGCTTAGCCTTGACTAAAGGCATACTTCTTGGTTTCATTACATTTCCTGTTCTTAAAAAAACTACATGTTTTATTTATTACTAAGAAATGTTTGTCGCGAATAATTTGATTGTTTTAATCTAAGAAGGTTTGTAAACGAGGGAACATAAAACAATGTGAAATAATACAACACAGAGAAAATGTTGCCCTCACGAGACGAGAGCATGTTGAACAATCCTTTTTTAGTTCACGATGAAAAATTTAAAGTTTGTTAAAGGCGCTGCAAGTTTTGTGAAATATGATTAAAAGTTTAACTAAGATTAAAAGCAACAATAGGCTTTATTGCATTAACAGCTAGAAGCAAGTTTGCGCAAACAATCCCTTACAGTTTATGGCGGAAATGTTTTCTTAAGAGCTGCGTATCTTGGCAAATTCCGGAGTATCCTAGACGTTTAATCGTCGCCTCGTTATGTAGTAACTTGTAAATAACACGATACAATTTCACGCTCTTAATTGAAAGAGATGTCCTACGTAAGTGGTATAACTTTACTAAACTGTTTGCTTAGTGTCTAATGTAATAAATGTTTATTTACTTACTTTCTAAAGAGGAGGAGAGACAAGCACGGGATTAACTTGATAGTAGGTGATATATTCCAGCCTATGACATCTAAACAAGATGCAATGTCGACTTATTTTGGCTTCGGAAATTCGGAAATCCACAGACTCAAACCGAAATGCGATTGACGGCTTTTTCGTCTGTGTTGGTTCGTTACCTGGACGGAATGGTTATCTTCCTACCATCCATTTAATATCTAGATTTCCAGACGAAGTTCAACATGTTCCAGGAAAATCATAAATGTTAGACCTGGTGGGGATTGAATCCACGACCTGCTGTCTATTAGGCATAGCCCCTCGAAATTACAGTAGGTTGGTGATAGTCTATCACCAAAATAATATTAGTTATACATTTTGCAACTGTTAAGAATTTTATGTTTGTCTAAGATATTATTTGGAAGTAATTAAAATACTTATTCAAATTGAAATGAAATAAGTCACCAGATATTAAACCAGCAAGTTATGTGCACAAAACTACTGTAAACATAATGTGTCACGGTAAGACTCTAAATTAAACCACAAGTATTATGTTATAAATAAATATGTACAGCATATGATAGTAGATAAAACCGCAACGAGCTTACTGACTTCGTTCCTAAACATCTAAAGCCAAAATAGGTACACAGCATTATTTAAATATTATATGGCTGTATTATTTTACCATCCATCGAGTGAATGCTTGTCAATATCTGATACCTGTTTGTCCTCTTTTAAACTGTTAAAAATTGATTTAATTCGATTTATTCGAAAATGATCTCCCTTTATTAAAACAAACATTCGCTACGTCGTTTTATTATTATAAATGCTAGTGCGTACTAACACAATAATTATATTCAACGCGCAATGTTGTGATAGACAGCACCCGAAATAAACAATTTGTTCAGTAATGTAGTTGGAATATGTGTGTGTTATTCTAGAGTTACGTTTGGGTCCGGGACTGTTTATTCTGGAATTTCCAACGTTGAATCTGATATTCGTGTACTATAGTAAGGTCTAGATAAACTATTCTACAATTTTATTCTAGTTCTATAAAAAAGGTTGTACTTAAGCGAAAGTTTGATTATCTTTAGAAATTATGAAATCAAAAACTATGTCTGTACAATTATCTAAACAATTAACATATAAGATTTATTTAAAAAAACCCCCCCGACCCCCGCCCGCCAAAACCAACCCCGGCCCCAATTAAAAATTTTTTCCTAAATTTTTTTTTTTTTTTCCCTTTTTTTCCCCTTTTTTTTTTTTTTTTTTTTTTTTTCCCCCCCCCCCCCACACAACTGTAATCTTTAAGATTTATCGTTTTTCTTTAAGGCGTCCTTTGGTAGGAAACCCAAATAACCCCTGAACAAGATGTGATGTCGACCTATTTTGGCTTCGGATACTTGGATATCCACAGGCTGAAACCGAAACGCGATTTAACTTCACGGCTTTTCCATCCGGCCGGAAATTCCTACCATCCATTTAATATCCAGATTCTCAAACGAAGTTTTAAATCTTAATAAATTGATTAGAAAAATGTTAGACCAGGAGGGTTTCGTACTCCCGACCCATTTTTAAATATTCTATTTATATTTTTCCTAATGAATATAACTCGTATCATTTTTCCTCAATTGTTTAGAGTAGCACGGAAAGTTCTGGATTCCGTTTCTAGTCGCGCCCGTTCCATATTTTTTCAAAATAAAAAATGTGGAATATAGTAAATGCATATATATACATATACATACATAGTGTTTGTTTTAAAAAATTTTTTTTTATTTATTAATTTATTTGTGTTGTAGTTCTAAGCAACGTATGTTAATTTGTATACAATACATATTTTGTTGCAGCTGAACATCTAGCTATAGCCGAGTCGTGCGCTGAGCTATCGTGCTACTTCGGAGCAGTTTGTACAGAGAGGACCGGAGGAGCGTTATGCGAGTGTGCTGCCGCCCCATGTCCTGATAGCGACCTTAACATGCTGGTAAGTTGTGTTCAAACTAGTTTCTAGCTAATAGTAAATTTTTTTATTCCTACTTTGTAAGTGTCACTTCCGTTAATTATTAATAGTAGTTATTAATAGTGAAATCGAAAACACTTTTTTTTCCGGGATTCGAACTCAGGACCGGTAGTAAACTTAATGCCTCCATAGCAAAATCGTAGAGCTAGTTGTTACTCTATCTAACATTAGTCTTATTAATTAATTTAATTGCAGTATATATAAAATCTGGCCACCTCTAAATGACTGCAGATGCAGTCGCAAAATTTAAAATTTCCTCAGAACTATGCGAGATGGGAGCAAAACGGATAATTAATATAATTTATTACTACAATATATAAACAGGCTCCTTACAACATTATTTAAAGCTAGTATAAATTCTGTAATCTAATCCATACACTCGGGTACAAAGGATCGCTGTAGTTTAAGCTATAATTACTTTAGCCACTGAACATTATGATATGTTGGCTTGAATTGTGAGAAATAAAGAAGATTTTCTTTATTCGCAAATTAGCAATAACAGTGCTTTTTAGGATTCCGTATATGAATAAAAAAAATACAAATTATGAAGTGAATAAGATGTTTATCAAGATGTGTAAAGATCATGTATTTTTTTGTTGTTGCAACAACAAATATAACGACTATAAAAAAGTAACTTCCTTCTAATATAAACTAGCTTTTGCCCAAGGCTTCGCTTGCACTAAATTTGTAGTAACACGGTTAGTTTGGGGGAAGCATTTGAAAAATAAAATCAGGCACAAATAGTCTGCATAACGATTTTAACCTTGAAAATTTCAGAATGACCAATAAAAACTTCTACCCTCCATTTTAGGGAATTGGGGGGGGGGGCTTGTTAGGAAGAGAGAAAATAAGCTTATATCACTCTTCTTTTATATATTACGTTAATTCTTATTTTGTTTTGCGAAAGATGAATAAACAAACAGACAAACACACTTTTACATTTATAATATTATTATTGTTACGTAGGCATTCAGAATACCGAAAGTAAGAGACCCATTAACAAGGGAGCCAACTCATTCTTGGCCAGTTTTTTTAATACACAGCTTTTATGTCTCAGTCATTAAATGAAAAGCTATAACACTGAAATTCCTAGAGTTAAATATCTCCTCGTTAAGTAAAACGTTAATGGCGCAATTAAACAGGAGAGGTTTTTAAGAAACAATACTGCGAAATGAGTTTCAATCTTCTTTTAAGAATTTCCATCGCGGAAGATTGGAGGAACGTTTTTAAAATTTGTAATTTATAATCGGAATATTGTAATTTATCGCGGATGTTCTTTCCTCTTTTGTACTATTAAAAAAAATATTTATTATTGGTTAACCAGTCAAGTCCATAATTGTAATGGTACCATTGGTCTAATGGTAGAAATTTTAATAATCAACGGGTGTTTTAAAGGCAACATACATCTAAGGCTTTGCCTGTAAAATGAGTGTTAGCAAAAGGGGCCCAAGCAAAAACAGGTCGATAGCGCACCTTGTTTAGATGTTATCTGACTGAGGTATTTTATGTTCCATTAAGTTCAAACTTCATTTTTGTTCGTCCTTCGTTGTCATAATTATTTAAATAAATCACGTTTAACGGTTTAATACACGAAATGTATTAGTTGACTTATTTACAATAATACCCTGTGACCACAGCTGCTGCGAGGAATAGAAATTGTCGGTTCTTAGTCAAAATAAATTGTAAACATGTTAACTAATATATTTAGCGTTTTAAGCGGTTAAATATTTTCTTTATATGTTATACTCTCGTAAAATGCAGGCATAATATTATTATCTATCTATACTTATTGTAAAGCTGAAGAGTTTGCTTTGTTTATTTGTTTAAAGCTAATTCAGGACTAAGGGTTCAAATTGAAAAAATATTTGTTGGTTAGAGCATTTATTGTGGAAGGTATATAGGCTTTATAATGTTGTACTTGACTAATTGAAACGAAGGAACACGAGTAATGTGAACAAAACAAGGAAAGTTTTCATCGCTGTGGGTTTCAGATGCGTGCGCTGCGAAAAGGGTTCAAGATACCTAAAAAATGTGTATGAAACATTCCTCTTATGATCTAAAAAAATCCCGACGTCCATTTTAAGGTTACTTGCATGAACGACAGAAATGGTACGCGATCTGACGTCTCCCCGTGGCTACACGGCTTAAGTTTATAAAGTGACGGGGTTTGTATTTAAAACTAATTTAGTTGCCCAAAATAACGATTCTCGCGGACGAAGTCGCTGGCACAGCTAGTCTGGTATATGGCGTGGATGTGATGGACGCAGAAATTCCCTAACAGGTATACGTAAATAAGATGCGATGCCAACCTATTTCGCTTTGGTAGTTCGTGTAGAATTATTTGGACAGTAAAACATTGACATATATATTGCACGACAATACCCATAAACCCTTGCCATGTGTCAATATACAGTTGTCCAGTACGATGTAATAGCGATAGCGTGTTTTAAATAAGTTTTAACTTTCGTTTATATTTGTTCATAAATTGCAGATATTGTAAACTTTTTTATATTATGTTAACGACGTCCAGAGACAATTTTTGGTTTTTTTTAATAATAAAAATCATCATTGGATTATATAATATAAAATACGAAGTATAAATTAATAATTATTTTAACTTTGGCTCGACGTTTCGGATGCTTTGCAGCAGACGTCTAAAGCATCTGATACATTTACCGTTTTAAACCGTTGAAGTTTTTTATAAAAGTATAACATTGAACAGGTATGCGGAAGTGATGGCAAAACGTACGAATCGGAGTGCCACCTCAAGTTGCAAGCCTGCAGGACGCAGGAAGATATCGTAGTGCAGGCGTTTGGGCCTTGCAAGCTCTCCGAAATCCCTGCCACCGCTGGCCCCCCCAGACCATCTTCACCCATCCAATTCACTCAGCAAGACGACGGCGCCGCTTCGAAGTCCACGAGACACTTGCTCAACCCCGACAAGTATTACAATAAGTACGAATGGACAAGGAAGGAGACGCCGAGTGATTTTGACAGCATTCTCTCCGGGCAACGAACAAAAGGTGAGTATTTGTATAAAACTATGTCAGTTGACTTAAATATTCAAATGGCATCTAAAGAGATTGCTATCTGCATCTCCTTAAATATTTCTACATTATAGGAAATAACGTTTTTCGTGATAACAGCTAAAACATAGCATAAAATAAATAATTCGCTTTTCGGTAGAAAGCTGTTTACTTAGTTCTGCTAACTAAGAGTGGAATTTGTTTTGTTTAATGATTGTCTTTTATTTCTTCGTTAGAAAATTCAAAGGTTAGCTTAGCATAGCTTTTTAAAAAAATATATTTCTTGTGTGGGTTTGTGCTGTATGTTTTATACATAAAGAAATACACAAAAAAATTGTGTATTTGTTTATGTAATAAGTTATGAAGTTGTAAGATTTTTGAAGTTAAGGAGATATTTCCCACATATATCGCACAGTTTTCTTTATATTGTTTTTTTCTCAAAAAGGAGTGTTAAGTAAAGGGACACTGTTTGTAGTACTCGTGTCACTGACTTTAAAAGTATAAGGTAATGATTTAATCATATCGATTAACTGAATGATTGGACGTATCAATTCGTCCGAAGTTACTTTAACTATTCATTCTTAGTTTACCGTGAAAATCCTTTTTTTTTCTTTTTCTTTTCTATGTTTGTAAGTTAGTAGTTTTTCCGCGTAATTTGATGTTTATAAAAAGTCGGTACTTATAATAAGTTCATGTTTCATCTCGTCACAATTCAATTCAGTTTCAATATTTAAATAAAACACTTTAACGGTTTAAAACGCGATATATTAGTTAAACTTATTTGAAAATGATTTTTAACTTCGGCCCGACGTTTCGGATGCTTTGCAGCAGCCGTGGTCACGGGGAGACCGATATAAGTTTAACTGATATATCGCGTTTTAAACCGTTAAAGTGTTTTATTTAAATGTGTACTATATCGCGTAAACTATAGACAGTAATAATAATATTATAACTTTTTGCACAAAATATACTTAGTAAATAAATAATTATTTACTAGTTTACAGTATCTAAGTTTCAATATTTTTAAGAAAAATATTGTCAGCTTATCAAACCGTCTCATGATTTAAACTTAATTCCGGCCTTATTCCTAAAAATATAACGCTCCCGCTTAAAGCGCGGAATTATATGACATTTTCTATAAATTTTAGTAGCCATAACCATAATTCCAGAAGTAAACGCTGACATTTAGATGTTATAAAATAGCGTCGTATCGAGAACAAGATTTAGGTCGCAGGTGGGACCCGTTCAATTTTTAGGTCACAAGAATTTAGGTCTTATTGGAATTTCCTTCCTAGTATCTTGTACATATCAGTTTCATAGTCAAATTATTATGGTGCATGTTATAGATCTTATGTAAATAAAAAAAATATTTTTTAAAGTCAGTAATGTTAACTTTAATACGTTATAGATAGTGATACGCATCTGTGCCTTACAATAAACGTGCTGTTTAGAGCATTGTGCTGAGCACAAGAAGTCCTGGGTTTGACTCCCAAAAGTGATAAACTGTATTTTATATGAACATGTAATACGTCAAAGGTTCGTCTCCTACCTAGACTAGCATTAATCAATTTATGTTTTCTTATATTTTGACTACTGGGTCGAATTTAAAAATTATTTTATTATATTAGAGCATTTATCGAGGAAGACTTTAGGACTAAGGTTATAAAATATCACACTGCGAACAATAGGAGCAAAGAAACAGTGGGAAATGTGGGGAAAACGGGGAAAACTTTAGTGTAGTTTACTCTTATATTATACTTTTTTAAAATCCAACTGCAAGCTTGCCTGCAAGAAATTATATTTTAGCGATAAGGCCGCCTTTTCTCACTACATTTTGGATTTTATAATTAAGTTTTTACTTCGTAACATTGTGGTGGCAATAAAGTATTTTTTGTTTGTTTGTTGAAAACTGTTCAATTTTTTGGGTTTCCGTTGTATGCACTGTAAAAACAAATTCAAGATACCAAAAGAGTATGTAGTAAAGAATTCGTCTTCTTTAAATGATCTAATAAAGTCTACGACAGTGTTTATCCATCCTTTAGGGTTAACCCACAAGAACCGTTTTTATGGAAATCAAAATTTTATCGTTTTTTTTTGTTTGCTTGGTCATTAGAACATTATATATCTGGAACAATAAAATGGATAACAACTAGCATTATTAATAATAACGAGTAAGTAAGATAGATCGCTAACGAAGTTGGGACGAGGGACGATGTCCCCAGATGACAGGGGCAAACAACTCGCAACAGGCAATTCTCTAATCTCAACGAAATTATGTGATTAAGATGAATTGAGTAGTTACTACGAGTGGATGCGAGAAACTTTCCGACTCCTAAATTTCACTTTCGAGTTTCCCCACTGAAACTGAAATCGTTCAGTTCAGTGAAATTTTGATGAAGAGCCATGATTAGTTACTTCCGAGTCTATTGTGAGCTGGGAACGGCCCTGGAAGCACGGGAACTTCCCAGGGTAAATGTTCAATATATTATTTTGAGTATTACAAAATAATATATATGGAACGGGTTTATGATCTGTCTTTTAAATAAACCACTCAAATATCTACAAACAAGAATAATATTTCTACATACCTTGTATCTTTTAAATAATCCTCCTTGAAACACCAAAACTGTATTATACTATATCAAAAAAAGAGTTACTAAGGGTTTTTTATGTAAGCAGAGGACAGAAAGGCCTTGTGTCTTCTTATAACGTACAACTAAGATGTGTTTTCGGCCATATTAGAAAATCCACAGACAGTAATCGTAAAGTTTTGAAGTCAATAAGACTTCAACTTACGATTGCTTCGCATTTGATTGATAAATCCCGTTAAACCTGTCTTCCAGAAAACGTGCCTTACCTTAGTTCATGTTTACTCGGCTAGAAAATTAATCTCTCTGAATACAAGGACCCAATCCTAATACAAATTAAACCTTTTTTCTTTAACATAATATATCTCTGCGTATAGTAGAGTAATCCGCTTGCCTAATCAATTTTATTAAGTAGTTAATAAAATATATGTGCCCAGCCCGACCGAAACAATTACCCATTGAAAACTTTACTATTTTTCATACGATTTTGCACATGTTGGATTTTGAAAAATGCAGTTTAATCGCGTTTCAATTTGTGTGGATTTGTTCGAATTTATTTAGACGTTTTATGGCTGGGGTTAGCCTACAAGCGAACCATGCTTGTCTATCCGTCTCTATCATAAAAAAACCATTTATACCATTAAATAATCATTAATTTATTATTACTTTGTAAAGGCTCGCAAACAGCAACGACGGCAACGGTCGGCGCTGTTGGCGCTTTACTCGGTGATCTTTGCACTGAGGATGCTGACTGTAATGCCTTGCCTGGTGCTCATTGTGCACGAGGAGGCTGTGTTTGCCGACCAGGCTTCACACCCACGACACACAGAAAAGCGTGTATTGGTAAGTACAAGTAAATTAAAAACTAATATAATATCAAAAATACACTAATGAAACAATCAAATAATGTATACAAACATAGTTTTGGTTCACATAAAGTACCAATTCCAGGTCCCACACTGGGGAAAGAATCTTAACTTAGGTACTTATTAGAATACAAAATCAAGCGCAATTTATCAATTATCGTACATTAATATGCAATTAATAGAAAATTTATTAGTTTTGAACACAATCATTGAAATAATTATCAACGTGAGGGCGCACCTAGTCTCTCATATTTCAATAGTCTTTTGTTTCCATATAAAATTACACCCGTGTCATAAAACGTAAAGGAGGTAATTAATATATATTGCATGTTGTCATGTAGCGCCTATTTTGGATATGTAATTAGCGAGTAACGTAACGTTATTAAAACGAAAACAAAGACGGTAACAGGAATTTGAGGGGGAGCCTTATTCATTTATAATCGAATGTAAAAGTTAAACGTCGAAATTCCAGTGCGAATCGAAACGAATTCAACCGAACATTCGGATAATTATAACGACCAGATTTCGGTCAATGTTTGTTTCTTACTTTTAAATAGACGTTTTGAATTTCTAAATATTTTTTTCAATAAATTCAGTAGTCAAATATTCTAAGTATTCCCTTCTTTATTTTACCGAATACTGAAGCTCGATTTAAATTACCAAAATTAGGTTACCTTACCCACATATAAGCATTAATTTTTATTCGTAAGTTGATCTTATTATAGCAAACCGAGTTTCAAGTGAAACAATTTTACAGAGCAATTATCTACAGAGACTACAGAGGAGTACAGCGCGTGTTTGTCCGACCCCTGTTACAATGTTGGCACGTGTATCGACTTGCCCGGCGCGACATATGCTTGTGTGTGCGCCGCCCATTACACCGGTATCAATTGTCAGACACTGCTCAAAGATGATTCTCCAGTCACGTACATCGAGACCCCGTCCTTCGACGGATCATCCTATATCAGGCTGAAACCGCTGAAGGCTTACCATAAGTTGAATATTGATATCGAGTTTAAGGCGTTTTCCGAAAATGGAGTTATATTGTACGATCAGCAGAAACCCGACGGTACTGGGGATTTCGTTTCGCTTGCTCTTGTGAACGGATTTCTAGAGTTCAGGTACCTTATTGATTTATACTTTATCAACCTACTTCACGTCTCGCTGACGCGTGCAACTTTGTTCTACTTGGTTTCACGTACATTGTTTATTTGAAAGCGCTATACGTTGTGTAATATAGGATGATAAGTACTTCTATTATAAGGAGGACAGACAAAGTTAGGATTCATTTGATGGTAGGTAAAATACCGCAGCCATATGGAATCTAAACAAGCTGATATTCAGAAATCGACAAACCGAAACCGAATAAACTTGTTGGCTTTTTTATTTGTGGTTCGTGACCTGGATAGTATTCAATCTTCCATTTAATATCCAGACGAAGTCCGACAGTTTATAATGAAATATTTTTTTTTTATTTTTTATGATTACTATCAACTTTTATAGATTAATAAATATTTACAATAAAACATTAATGATCCGTAATAGTCTAACATATTATTTCAAATTCAAATTCAGAAACTTATTGCCATAATAAGATATTTACAAACTTATGACTTATAACTAAAAATAGTAATAAAAATAAATGTATAAGAGATGGCCATCGGTACCAGTCTCAGCTATGCTGCTGAATGCTTGTCACACTCAGCAGCACTGGTCTTCAGACGGGCCCGGTCATAGAAGGAAAGGAGTGAAGTTTAGTAAAGTAATATAATTTTAAGATATTTAAAATGGAATTATGCCTAAAAAGGATCACCTGTATTAGACAAAATATAGTTACATTTTGATAAAAGTATTTTTTTTTACCATTCTTAGATATAACCTCGGCAATGGAGCAATAATTTTAACATCGCTGGAGAAAATAAGTCTGAATGAATATCACAAGGTGTCTGCGAAGAGATACCATCGAGATGGAATTTTGTCCGTGGATAACATGGAAGATGTGGCTGGACAGTCTAGAGGCAACCTGAAAGCGTTGGACCTTGCTGAAGATGCCTATATAGGCCGAGTGCCTACTAACTATTCAAGGTAAGGAGTGTGAAATTCCAATTTCCGAGTGGGACACATTTCTGTGAAGTATTTATCGTTCCTCCGGGATTCGACCCTGGACTTGATACTACGTTAGGTACGTGTAATTACGCGTTTAACCAGTAAGCCACAGAGACAAGGTGGGAAGAAGAAGCTAATACCAAATGCGAAAATGTGTTGTGTAAATTATTTATGTATGTAGTTATGTTTGTCAATCCCACTAAAAGCATGTATGAATAAAGAATAAAATGATAACTTAGACTGAAGCAAGTATTTAATATTAAAACTGAAGAACTAACAGACTGGTTACGTAACGCATTACTTAGTGACGTAACGCGTGGTGGACATCCTCACTTTGCAGAGCTATCAAATTAAAAATGTACATGTTTGTCTCGCTTCTCCCGACTGATATACAGATAAACCTTATACAATTAAATATATACCTTGAGTTAGCTCTGCCTCTCTCTGATGGGACCATAGAAATGTTGGGACATTGGTCCCAACGAAGCTGAGTCGACTCCTTTTCATAGGCAACTGCACTATTGTATTATATCTCTATCTAGTTATCTTAATATTATATTTAATTTTTGCTTATATTGTTTGTAAAATTCGTTATTATTGTAAATGGTGTTGTTTCTGAATAAACTTATACGTGTTCTATTTTGCTACAAGAGTCTTAGACCTCTTGAGAACGGAAAGGTCTTGAGTTCGAGGCCGATCCCTGTTATATTTTTAAATTATCTATATACGTGTTATGTGTTGAGGGATTATTGACACCACAACGAGTTACGTAACCAAGCCGTCCTATAAGTTATCTTCAAAGTCGCGATAGTTCTAATAGCAAACTGTGTCACCATTATAACACTCGAGAAAAACTTATTTCACATTTTATTCTAGGGTCTTCGATAATATCGGAACCCGAAGCGCCTTTATCGGCTGCGTGAAGTACTTGAGAATAATACGTCATCAAGTGACAAAGAAATTGGGTCGTCCCGACTCATTAGTAGTCTCTATAGAGAACGTCCGAGAGTGTCAATCTAATCCCTGTATGAGTTTGCCTTGCAAGAACGGGGCGACCTGTCGGGCCGTGGACGGTTCACTGACTGAGTACACGTGCAGCTGCCCCCTTGGGTTCCACGGGCCCAATTGCGACGAGAGATTGGACCCTTGCGAGTCGAATCCTTGTGGACATGACGAGGGGCTATTGTGTGATATTGGACCGGATGGGGGACACGTTTGCCGATGTCTGTTTGGCGAAATCGGCTCTAATGGGAATACCTGCAATAACGGTATGTAAATTTTTTGGTATAAAACTGCTTAAAACGCGAATTATATATTTTTTAATTTTTGCGTTTTAAACCGTTAAAGTATTATAATGAAATGATGGCTTTGTATAGATTAAAAATCTAATTTCGAATACCGAAGTAACATTTCGTCCGAGGATTCGAACCTGGGACCCCATGGTTTTTTTTTGTTAATGTTATGTATACCTATCATAATTATTATTAAATGATCCCAAGGGTACCATAATATGGTAACTTAATACCTGGCATTACTGTTCACGATGTAGTCGTGTAAGTAACTCTGAAACCTTGTTTTTAACAGTCTTTATTTAAGGGAATATCTGTACTTTTATTTTGAACGTTAATTTTACCACTATCCTTTAGCAATTTTAAATTAATGTACTCATAATTAGATTACTGATTAATTTGAGCTTAACATCTTGTCATCGTGACGATTCGCACTAACTGTTGCTGTTTACAGATGTAAATGTTATTCAAGAGACGTGGTCTCCTCAATTCAACGGGACGAGCTACGTCGAGTTAACGCCCGTGGAAGGGCTCGGAAAAGCGTTCCGGATCGAAATTTGGTTTTTAACGAACCGATTCTCCGGAATGCTGCTCTACACCGGCCAGTCCAATAAAGCGAAGGGAGATTTTATAGCTATTAACTTGGTTAATGGCTACCTTCAGTTTAGGTACAACTTAGGGAGTGGAATCGCTAATATCACGTAAGTGAACCTTTGAATTTCCGAAGCGAATTAATTTAAGGGGATTCTATCGGCTTACTACGGCTTGCTCCACTTTTAACTGAGTTCATTGTGAAATTTAGTTATCGTCAAACACTGTATATTCAATTGTTTCGCACGAAAAAGTAGAAGTAGAGTAACATCGTTTGTTGTTTAGGCAATATTTTGGTAACTGAGCAATTAAAACGCTATGTTATTTAATTACATAAAAATTTATTAAGAAAACTTTTGACTTATAATAATAATAGTCTCGTATACGCGTTTCAGCAGAAACTTGTCAAACTGCCTTTTAATTTTACTAAAGGAGAAGGAGAATTAGTCTCAGTTTAATATTAAATATATGTAAAAGAGGGGGAGTTTGCATTAATTTTTTTATTTATAATTATAACGCATTTTTATTATGTTCTTGACATTTATATACAAATTGGTACAGCAAAGCACCACCTCATTTTGAATTATAGAGGGAGACAAAACTTTATTAAATGGAAGTATAATACCTCCCCCCCCCCCCATATAACATTTAAACAAGATGAGTTGTCGACCTATTTTGGATTCAAATATTTTAAAATCGAAACGCGATTAAACTTGACTTGGTTTATCCATCTGTGGACCGTAGTTAGTGACTTAGCTCGACCAATTAATGTCCCGATTTCCAAACCAAGTCCAAGGCTTTGAAATCTTATAACTTGATTAGAAACACGATAAAACATAATTGCAATAAAATTCCTCTAACAATGTACGAGGCTTTACATCGTTCTAGGTCTCATTTTTCACATTACATTGTTCGAAGCGTGTCGCACTAATAGCATAAATGACCAGGTCACCGGTGCCGGTAACTAAGGGTCGATGGCACCGTGTGCGTGCAGCTCGCTCGGGCAGACACGGCAGCCTGCAACTCGACGACCACCCTGTACAGAGGGGGAAGTCGCCCCCACCCCTAACACACTTGGAGCTGACTCTGCCACTCTTTATTGGATCTCTGCCGTAAGCATTCTGTTATAATTTACACTAGGAAGCCGTAGAGTGTTAAACGTTCCGACTAACGTTATTTGTCCTGAGTAACATTTTTACTATTGTGTTATAGTCTTTACTTCTTCCTAGTTTTATACCTTCCTACCTTTTAGATGTCTACATCTATACTTTATAATATTATAAATGCGAAAATAACTCTGTCTGTCTGTCCGGCTTTAACTCCGAAACTACTAAACTGATTTGAATGAACAGATATTTTAGAGCCTGAGAAAGGAGAAAGGCTACTTTTTAATGCCAAAAAAGGGTTGATAGGAGTTGAAAAAGGGGATGAAAGTTTGTATAGAAATTAGTGGTTTTTGAAGCTAGAACAATGAAACTTTCTTCTTTGGCTATTTGGGAATTGGAGTGAGAGTGGGACTGAAAGTGGGAGTGAGTGTATGAATGAGAGTGGAAGTTAGAGTAGGAGTGATGTTAGGTGAGACTGTTGCGGCAAAGTACTTACAACATAGATTAGCTGCCTTAAATGCGCCCTTACATAATAAACAGCCTAAATAATTAAAAAGTCAACTACCCAAGTCACTATTCCATGCGGATGAAGCCGCAGGCACAGCTAGTCATTAAATAAAACAATTTTAACGGTTTAATGCGTGAAAATGATTCGTTAACTAATTTTAACTATGGCCCGATGTTTCGTTGGTTTGTAGTATCTTTCATGTTTTGAATAGTTAAAGTGTTTTATTTAAACGTGTACTCGCGTAAACCATGCACTTAATTTGTCAAGATTTGAATTTCACGTAATGTGAAATAAGCAAATTTTGTCCCGCAGTCTAAACGAGAACTACATATATTTCTTGTTTGGTACCGAAGACCATACTTTCTGAGTATTCAAAGAGCCATCTGACGTATGACTATTTCGTTTTAATATATAAAATAAATAACTTGACACTAAGTTTTTTTTTATAACTCATCTTAATACATATTACATTAGATACGGTTTATTAAGTTCTAAGACGGTACTAAGAATGCAATGAACGTATAATAAAAAGGTTTTTTCTTAGAACGATTCTAAGAAATTCTGAGCTCAACGAAGCTTGTAAATATATTATAATTGTAGTTGAAGCGATCATTTTGCCTTCCATACTAAAATCATACAAGCATTAATACACTTTTATTGAAGACTAATATTATCTTTAATATCTTTATCATCTAAATTGTAGACTAAAAAGAAAAACAATAACGCCAAAGCAAAAATCATACATATTCACAATAAATTATATTTATTTATCTTTGTAAATAATAAGCTTGGTCTCATATCTGCACTGATTGTATTTAAAGGCAAGTTTTTGTTAGGTTTCTATGCCCTGCTTTATAAAATTTCCTGGATTCAATTTGTTAATCTTTCGCGAATGTGATAATCTTTACCTTTTTTCATTTGTGCTCCGTGGTATATGACTGGAATGAAATTTGGTATACCTACCATCCATTTAATATCCAGATTTCCATACCAAGATGTTTCAGAAAAAATATAAATTAATTAGAAGCATGTTGAGCCTGATGGAGATAAAATCCCAATCCATTGCCGTACATGCTACCATTAGACCGACGAGCCTTCGAATTGATCATAAATTGAAAAAAAATTACGACTCGGCAGGACTCGAGCCGGCATCTATATCGTTCCGTGCTGTTGCTCTAATCAATTGAGCTACTGAGTCCTGAATTTTTTCAAGTACGATCCCCGCTATAGCAAAATGCTTAAACATGTTGCCTACCTAACCTAACGTGTCCTGGGTTCGAATCGCGGGGAAAAAATAGATTGTTTCGGTCGGGCAGGGCACAGAAGTCTGATCAACTAGTTGCCTGTAAATAAAATCGATCAGTGTAACGTACACTTCTGTGTACGTTACACTGACCGTGTTTGCCCCAATGCCCCACGAGGGAAACGGGATTTCACTCACATCCAAGTGCAATAACACGTGAAAAATATTAGTGTTTTCAAACATATACACTTGTCTAAATTCTATCTCCTTAGACCGTTTTCCGAACTGACAGTAAGACGTAGATAAATCATAACGAAGGATGAATTGACTCGAATCAACTTTACAGTTCCTTCATCCGTCCCCACAAAATGTCGGGGGTGACCAGCAGTTTTATTGGAGCGGTGCAACAGGTCTTCGTGAATGGGAATCCGTTGGCCCTGTATAACTCGGATACAGCCAAATGTGGCATTGTCCTCGAGGAGGAGAAACTTCCTTGCTCTACGAGCGGGGTTACTAAGTACACTGGCCCGCCGTGTGGAAATGGTAAGTACCTTCAACTGTTAAGGGTTCTACTAAATGTTTTAACTATACTAACTCGTAAATATGATGCTAAGTTATGAACCACTAATATAAGTAAGTAATTTTACAATATCCCGTAGTATTAAATATCTATCCCGTATGTATTTAATCTATTAATACATTTTTGATAATATGTTAAAAAAGGATATAAATAAAATACTTTAACGGTTTAAAACGCGAAATGTATTAGTTAAATTTGTTTACAAATTATTTTTAACTACGGCCTGATGATTCGGATGCTTAGCAACGGGGAGACACGGTCTTCCGTAATAATTAGAAAACAGGTTAAGCTTATATATTTTGTGTTTTAAACCGTTGATGTGTTTTAATTAAATGTGTCCTACTCGCGTAAAATACGGACAGTATTTAACCAATAAAATCTTGCTTTTAAAACGATAATATCATAAATGGCCTACGGTATCGAAAATCTATCTCGTGTTGGTTAGAACACAGTTAGATAAAACACTTAACGGTTTAAAACGCGATGTATGCAGTGTGGACAAGGTCTGCTCCATACGAAAGGTCACGCTGTAGTTAAAAATAACTTATCTGATATAATTCGTTTTGTTATTTAAAATCGGTTAAGGTATTTTATTTAAATATAAAAATGCAGTGTACATATGAACATCAATAATTATTATCACTAAGCTAGTATGTCTCTTCAACCTAAATTAGAAATGTAATATTAATTACCCATTCTTAGGTCTGACACCGTGCAAGAATAACGGATCCTGTATACCTCTATTGAACGAGTATAAATGCTCGTGTCGTGACGGCTTTGAGGGTCGGAATTGCGAGGTGCAATTAAAAGTGGAGATGTTGAACGATGCTGTTCCCATTAGGTTCGACGGGAATAATTATTTCTCGTACAGGAGCCGGGGCGGACGCAGGTAATACATAAATCTCTCGTTACACGCCTGTAATTTTATTGCGAGAACGTGTGAACAATTTGTATTAAGTGTGTTTGACGGCAACTTGAATGAAGAACTATACTTGGTAACTGTTGCTATAGAAAATTGGCTTATAATAACGTAATTCTTTTTTTTTATATTTTATTGGTTTTCTTAACAAATAAACTGTAAATAATGGTTTAAAGGTTCAGAAAGTAACTTTAATTTTTTTAATGTGTGAAAAAGATATACCTTATTGTTATCAACGTAATTTTAGTGTTTACAATCTGTTAATAGCTATAGTTTAATAACTAACGCATACTAACGTATCCTTTATTTTCTAGCTTACAAACTAATGCGCAGATTGGTGAAGGACATTACGATGTAAGATAGCGTTCGACGGACGAACAATACGATAGATATTATTTATAACATTATATGTAACTTCACAATAATTAGATTAGGTAAATAATTTGACGAATTACTTAGCTTTAAAGTAGTTGTTGGGCTGGCCTTTAATATTTTTTCGTGATAACTTAGAGACATGGAACTGGAGGTACCGTTGAAAAAAAAAAATAACGGCTCATACGCACAAAAAAGCAAGTAGTATTATATATTTTTGAAAACATTGCGGCTTCTTTTGTTCTTTGGATTTAAGTTTTATTTGTTTTGGCCTGGAGCCGTAATTACCGGCATTGCCGCAATACGTCATGTTAACGTTGAATATTGCGGCAATCTGGATAGTGTGTATAAGCCCTTATACCTTTAAATTTTTTGATTTGTTGTTAGTTTCCCAAAAACAGATCCCCGTATCTTGCCTCTTTGAAATCTATTCTATTTTATAACGTCTGACCTCAAAATCCGTGTCTCTAAGATTGGGATTGTTTGCTCGCGAGTGTATAGTTCTACAACTCGGGTTTCGTAAATATTGTGAACATTCCCGTAGATGTATGCGCGTAGTCGCTTCATTAGTCTTTGTAAATTGAGTTGATTTATCAGATCACACCAAAGTGCTCGTACGTGACTGGGTTAGGCTTCGGAACATGTGAAATTCTAGACATGCTCCAGCTATTATAATTTGCGAAAGCGCTTCGAGTTGGAGAAATTAATGCTTCTTCTATACCATTAGTCTGATTTAGAGAAATTTAATTTGAAGTATTAATAGGAAGTACGAACTACTAAGCTTACTAAAAACTTTTCGCAGCATGGTGGTGGCCGTTTTATGATTATCAACCTATTCTTGCAGACAGAAGACTACTCGTTACTTACTTAATGGCAGCTTATTAATTTCTTCTTTCATAATTCTATTTAAATAAATATTCCAATCACCTTCGTAGCTAAATGGCTAATTACATTGCCTTGTATTGCGTTAAGCATGAAAAGTCAACGCTTAACGTTTTAAATCTAAGCTTTGCACCCTAGAGCAACAATAAATTTCATTTTTCGGGCAAAGAATTTTGACCAACAACCTGCCCGCAAATAAAATGGAATAATACGTGCTACTCAAAGATACAGGATTTCAATAGTAAAACAGAGATATTGGCGCAATCAATATATTTTTAATCAACAACCCCTGACAATTCTCTTGTGATAGAGTCGAGAATTATTTCTCATAATCGCTACATCTACAGCCCCAACGAATACTAAAATTAAAAGTGGATAATATTAAACCACTCATCTATTTAAGTATGTTAATGAAAATGACTAATTAATAGCCAAGTTCCCCGGATTTCCTAATGTCTCGCTTAATAATTCCGACTTCGGTTCCGAATGTGCAAATTCACGGCGCGTAATATAAAAGTTGAGCAAAAGTTCCGTATATTTTGCATAAAAGCATAAATTCAAAACTGCTGTCGCCTAGACAAGTATTTGTATTGCATATCATTATTTATTTTGGCGGCCATTTACATAAATATATATGAAAGTTTATAATAGTTTGGAATGAAATTTATTCGGATTCACATAAGTACTGTTGTTTGACGCTTTTGGCTTTTATTTGTTTAGCGTTTTTATATCTTGCCATGTTTATATGTCTGTCTTTATATATATAGTTAAAGTATTACTTAAGTGTTTTTCTAATCCACTCAAATACCGGGATACTCTATTAAAGTAATTATTTTTTTGTTTTATTTTTTGGAATCCGACATCGGACAGTTCGGACCAAGTCCAGGACATTAGACGCTTAACGCATTTTGAAGGCAACTGGGCTGAGCTATGAACGCAGAAAATTATAAGAAAAATTTTTCATGATACGGCCGGGAATGGTGTTTAAATGAGCGTTTTTTGTGCATTGATACCTGCACCACTCGGGTGTAATTTCAATACTTATAGTACTTAGGGTTTAAATAAATTACTTTACGCAAAATTATTCATTTGAACGCCTCTGTAACCCAATGGTTAACATGTTGTCTTGCATTGCTTTTAAAGGGTTTCGAATTTCGGGGAAATAATAAATTGTTTCGGCGGGGCAGAACACGGGAGTCTAACCTACTTGCCTGTAAAATAACAGATCAGATTCATGTCCTGCCCGTGTCGTATTTTTTCGATTTATTATCGATTTTTAATTTTTATACTGCTACATGTGAAGCAACATGAGCAATATTTTCAAATCATGAGTTATTATTTTCTAGGAATCGTGGTCCTCGCGGTATTAGATACGAAATAAAATTCCGTACCCTCAACGAATCCGGACTGTTGGTGTGGCGACGCAAAATCGGAATACGACCACGGGATTTCATCGGACTCGGCCTTAGCGAGGGGAAATTACAGTTGATTTACACAGATACGGATGTGAGGGAAATAAACTCGGCGACGCACGAAGATTGGTTTCAAAGCGTGGAGTCCAGGGACCGAGTGAACGACGGGATGTGGCATACCGCCACGATTAGGAGGAGGAAGCGACTGGCGATGTTGCAGGTGGACGATTCCCCTCCAGTTAGGGGGTACTCGCAGTCTCTGCTTGTACCCTCGAAATCTAATCCGAAGTTATGGATCGGTGAGTAACAAGACGTAACTTTAAGTAATATTCTCTTAGTAGTATCGCAAGACATCGCCAATAATCTAATATATAAAATTTTCATGTCACATTGTTAGTTACTCCTCCGAAAAAGCTCGACCATTTTTTTGACATACAATCTCTAAATTTTCCCAACCCCTATGTTTTAATAGTTGTTTTAGTACTTTAATTTTTATTTGTCCCGCTCGATAACGGATTGATTATCACTTGGTAAGTTAATCCTGGCTCTTGGCCATTTTGTCAGTTAGCAGAAAATAAAAAAAATGCCAATAAAAAAACAAACATACATATATAGACTGATATAATCAACAATAAACCATCAGTCCGTTTTTGTGATTCCGCTGCAGTCGAATAGCATGTATACTAGTTCTAGACGATAATAGTAAAGTAATATTAATTTCATATTGTATTAAAATACTCTCTATTTAATTATCAGGGACTGTTAAACCCTTCGCCAAATGCACTTCCATTTCCAATTCAACCAGTATACCACAAAGTTATTTGTTCATCTTCATTTCATCAAATTCTCTTGGACTCCTGTAAATGTAAATCACTAATTGTCTAGGTGGATCTCCTTCCCTGCCACTGGGATTGCCACCGTCACTCTACACAGGACTTCGCGGTTGTATCGCCAGCGTCAAAGCAAATGGAAGACATTTAGATATCACGACCCCGATACGACCCATGACAACGATACGATATTGCGGATGAATACGATTATAGCATTAGCTAGTGATATTACAAGTATTACTTTCGAGTTGAACACTACTAGTACCTGTGGAAACTACCAATACATATCTCTTTTTACATTTTTTTATGTTTAAATGATGATTTTTAAGAGGACAGCGATATATGTGAGAAATAATCAAACAAGGTTTTATTATAAATAACCTGCAACAATAGATGTTGCATTTAGTGGGTCAATTATTTATTCCCTAAAATAACATTAGTGTTAGTAATTAACTCATAAAATATGTCCTCGGATTCTGGTAATATCTATCTTGACATATCGTATTTTTGTTTGGTTTTAAAACATTATAAAATTATATAGCAATTGTAGCTAATTAAATCTACCGATACACAAAACGCCTTACGAGCATACTGAATATAAATCGTAACGTGTAAAAGACCTCAGTTACAATGAAATCAGTATAATTAGTAACATGTAAAGGCACACATTTTAATAAAACCGAAATAATTTAAAAGCTACTTATTATTAAGAGTAATTATTAAATGGGCTTTAATTATAACATTCCAATACTTAAATAACGCTTATAAATACTTACATATTATAAATATTAATTGGTAAGCGTTTATTCGAGTAATCCATATTAAATATGGAGATTCAATAAATGTTTATTAAATTAAACATCTTACGCATTTCAACTGTTTCATTCCAGAGTTAAATAACAAGTTATTAATAGTTAATTATTGTTAATATTATAATATTGTACCTAATATAAACAGTGCCATAGTTGTATAGTAGTTGTTTCCTTTAGGCATAGACTAGAACTTATTCGTGTTTATTTTTCGCTCTAGCATTACATAATTCAAGGAAAGAAATATGACAATAACAGTACCCGTTCGATTGTTACGCTAGTGTAAGGCTTTGGTCTCCTATAAACGCGAAAGGTTGTTTAAAAGTTACAATATCAAAAAAGTTATAATGTTGTTGTCTCTTTTACACAATTGTCGTTTATACAAGTGTTGACACTTTACGCAAGTAAATACAACATTTTAACGGTTTAAAACGCGATTTATTTGAAAATTACTTTAACTACGGCCCGACGGTTCGGATACTTTATCTTCCCTTGACGGCTGCTGCAACTTAAAATAATTCAAATAAGTTTAACTAATATATATCGCATCTTTAACCGTTAAAGTGTTTTATTTAAATGTGTACTACTAGCGTAAACTACATTACTTTACGTGTTGAGCTGTATGCAAACAAATATTATCGCGAGCATCAAGATGCTAACTATGAGCGAGTATAGGAGACTCAATCCTAATCAGACTAAAACTAATGTATTTTTCAAAACCTTAGCATTTTAAAAGCCGATACGCCATTAACTGTCGTAGAATCGCCAACGTTACTTTGACATCCTGTGTCACACAACAGTTTTGTAAATCGTGTAAATACTAATAGTATAGATTTTTTTACAAACCGCTTTAATGTTACTCTGTGAATTATATGAAATGTTTAGCACGTCTGTAAACAGAGTGAATTAGTAGATAATAGCAAGATCGTATTGGAAATGTAGATAATAGAAATCAGATTGTCTATGCTATATGTTGACGAGTCTATAATTTCTAGACGCTTAAAATGTACGCTTAAGTTTTTATAATCTACGTTTAGTTTTGAAGTAATGACTATGACAATATACCAACGCGTCTAGAATTTACGGGTGCATTAGAGTCTGTGGTCAAACATATCGGTTGAATTTAGGTTTAGACTAGATAACCATTATTCGTCCGGTACGTGGGTCCGGATCAAATCCTATTCCATTTGTGGATGTTTGCTTACTCATACGTTCAACGCATATGAAATGATTTTGCCGGGAAGTCTGGATATTTTTCGTGTAACGCTGTCTGTAGTGTCATTTTAAATACTTTATTGATAGACATGTGGGAAGATGAACCATCTTTTATTAAACCGTTTCAGCGTTTGTCCACTGATGGATATGCATCAAAAACTTTTAGAACTACCGTTCATTATAACATAAATATATTAACTCTAAGATGACGTTCTTTGTTCATAATAGAGTTTTATCTTCCACTCTGATTTGTTATACAACGTGTTTTGATGTACCTACAATCCTAAATTAGTCTATACATAATGAAAATAATAAATTAAATGAGACTGGATATGTTTTGTTTCTTTATTGTACGCTTCTTAGTATAAAATATGATATATTTCAGACAAAATCATAAATTTATGTTCCTTAACAGCAGAATGAAATTTACATTGTTTCGAAGAGTTTGGCGAGCTCGTGTAATGGTAGCTGTATGGCCAATAATCACCGGGTCGGGGTTCGATCCCCACAGGGTCCGACATGTTTCTAATTAATTTATAATTTTTATAAAATAGACGATGCGTTGATGGCACTCAACACTTTTATATTCAGAATTATATCTTTATAATCTTCTAGATCTTTTGAAATAGTTCCAAATACGAACCCTGGACCTTAGAATCAGCCACTGACTGATAACCATAAGAACAATACGTCACTTGTTGTTGTTTTGTTTTGTTGTCAAGTGAGTATATACTCTACGGCCGTTGTAACTTGGCAAGCCTGATCTAAGCGCGAGACGCTGCGCATAAACGTTCTTTAGGATGTTAACGGTGATAAGAGCGAGGGGCGCGGGACGAAGATCTAGGCTAGTGATTGACTCAGTGTCAACACAATCGACCGCTTATTCTATCAAATTTTGTAATCGATTTTTATCGATTTAGATTGTGGATTTAAAATCGTATGAGATATTGTTCTAAATGGATTGATGAACACAGTAAATGGTGTTGTTAATAAACAATACCATGATTACCTTTAAAGGAAAATAAAATCATTAAAAACCTGATTTAGTTAAATATGAGTAATTATTTATTCAATTACTATTTATACCTTCTTTAGGGCTTTTTATAAAATTATATTTCTACGATCCAATTTTGTCTATTTCAATAGGAATATTAAACGACACTCACATGGATCGCGTATGGACCTCTCTATTTGGTTTGAATCAATTAGTGGTATTTTACTTTTGAGTACTATATGTAAAATCTTTCATTTATCCCAGTAACGAAAATATATGGCAGTTTTAGTTTTCTTTACGAGTGTACATGCGCCAAAGTTAGCCTAACCTCTGTTCAGAGCTGCCAAGTTACATCGGCCGTATTAATAACTAAGCTTACTAAAATGTAGTTGTTTATTTTCATCGTCATAGCAACTAATCTAAACAACTAGTATATGCAAAAGAATGCCTGGCTTATTTAAGATTCAAAGATCATGTGTAAATAATTGTTCACAAATTAGAAGAAAGTTCATTGTGATGTTATTCAATTATAAGTGAAGGTTATAAAGTTATCTCATAAAAAAATGTCGCAAACAAGAAGAGTTTGTTTTGAATTGAAAAAATATTTTTGTGTTGGTTAGCGCATTTATCGAGGAAGGCTCTAAAATATAACTGTGATATGGCTGTGACTAATAGAAGAGAAGATACGGCATGAAATGTGAACAAAACGGGGGAAATTCATTTCTGTGGGTTTCCGATTCGTACGCTGCGACAACGGTTTAGGAAACCCCAAAAATATGTACGAAAGAATATTTCCTATATTCCTAGTCAGCGACACTATGTATCTATTTTTTAAGATTACTTGCAAGAATGACAGGACAGGAGCGAGCGACGGCAGGCAACCGATGTCGTGAACAGCTTAAGTTTATAAAGACGTAGAGGTTTGCAAAAACAAATTTGGTTGCCCAAAATAACTAATCTACGCGGACGAAGTCGCTGACTCAGCAGTCCGCGTCTTCGATTACTAGCTGTAGTAATTTATAAAAAGAAACTTGACAACTACTTAAATATTAAGGCCTTGTCTTTTAATTTTTAATCTTCATTATATACGTAATATAGAAACTATATTAGTATGCACCTAACTAAAATAAAAAAAATGATGTAATAAATTAGGTAATACTATTTTCTTATTATAGAATTTATCTAATATGTCGATCATTATCAGAACAAATCAAACCATTTGTTTCATTTCCAAATTAAACATAAAAAACACAAATACATGTGTATGTGTAATTCTCCGAATATATATAGTAATAACTAGTTTTTTGGTTGCGAAATTCCCTGCTACAGATACAAATAACAAAAATATTTCAATGCATTTGCAGTTTCTTGTATAATATCGATTTTCTTGAATAGAATACGATTCTCCAAAAGCGCCGAGCGAAAGAAGATTGCAAGTAATTAGTATGCATATTGAGTTTCCGTTTTTCACCCCTTTCGTAGCTTATCAGCTAACGCCTGGGCTAAATTTTAATTTAACTAGTCAACAAAACTTTTAGCTTTTACTAATTTTACATAGAGACGCAGTTGGATGTACTTTTTAGCGTTGCGTAAAACCTTTTAAGTCCCATTGATGTCACATTTCTTCTTTCAAAAGTCCGTCTAATAATATTTAATAATATTGCTGCAACACTAGAATCTGTTGCCATTTATTGCAAGAGTTCGACCTTGTTACTGTTTATTTCTTCTAATTCATTTATTTCTTCATTGTCTAAATAAGTAATTTAATTAATTTTAATTGATGTATTTTATTTAGGTATATAAATTTATTTATTACATACTATATATATACTTTGTCCGTTGCGTTGAGTTACACGTAAACAACTACTAAGGTCCACCTGTAATTCAGTGTAACGTCTTATGTAAAGTTGTTACTTTCCTGCCCTTTTTGCAATCAGAAACGTACTGAAGTATTCTTTAGTTACATTTATAGGGTTTATTTTACGGCTCTTTAAATAATGAAAAATATATAATGGCAAATAAAAATGTTTTCTTTCTTTCTTTGTAGTGTGTTATTAAGTCTCTCTAGCTTTGATCCACCATGCTGCTTCAGCGCGGGTATATGAACTTTATCTACTACCGTCACTAATTTTGTGGGGACTACTGAGATCAACGGTAGCGTGCTATCTGAGATTGCTGCTACG